CATATTGGAGGTGGAGCATATTGGAGGCAGGGGCATATTGGAGGTGGGGGGAATATAGGAAGCAGGGGCATATTGGAGGCAGGGCATATTGGAGGAGGGGCATATTGGAGATGGGGGCAGAATAGAGAGGGTGGAGGTGGGGCAGAATAGAGGGTGGAGGCTACTGGTTTTGCTAAAACAACCAGCAAGTGTAAACTTCCAAATTAATCAATAAATCTACCAAAACAAAATGTTTTTCTTTAGAAAATTGACTAATACGGTAGCAAATCATATAATCAATGAATGTACCCTAACCTGACAATTGGATTCCCTCGGTAGAGAATGTACACGCCAGCTTCTCTGTTGTCATAGATATCATTATCCACCAACATCCCTCGACCACTATCAAGGACGACCACGCCAGATCTGCGACCATTGAAAATCTGATTGTGTTGCAGAAATGGGTCGGATGAGTTGCGAATGTCTACACCCGCTTCCCCGTTCTGAAAAATCACATTCCCTGCAACCAACCCGCCTGCGCGGTCACGAAAAAACACCCCAGACGTGTTGCAATCGTGTATGGCGTTTGCGAGAAGAATGACTTTGGAACCACCCATACACCGAATACCGTAAGCAACACCGGAGATTTCACAACCCTCAACCCAAGCGGACCCCTGTCGTCGTATATGGACCGCCCCTCGTTTGGAGTGGAAGTGACATTCACGTACAACACACCCCGTCGAATTCCTGAGTGTAGTTAGAGCCCCTATCCGCAATGGCAAACTGGTTCGTTGTGCGAGCGGGATGCTCATTTCTGGCGGAATTACAAATTTCTCGCTGCCCGACAAGCTTAATTTCTCTTTCAAGTCTTTGACAAGTAAATGACAATCCGTCATCTCTTCGTCTGGAACTTTGAAAGTTTTTTGTAAATTTTGCTGAACAATATGGCTATACAGCTCTTCAACGGTTAAATTCTTGTGGCTATGGGTCGCAGTCCAGTCAACGAAGTGGAGTCCCAGCGGCATATACTTGCCGAGTGATTGCGTGCCTTCGATTAAGATCGCAGAGTGCTCACCATGTTGGAATTCACAATGGTCGATCTTGCACATACATGATGTTCGTAGTTGTACTGAAGCGTTGTTAAACGAGCAGTATGTGATATAAACTCCGCCAGGAGACGTGACCTGGACATGACCATGTTCGATACTCGAGTTGTCCAGATACAAGTTACCACTGGTTACCTAAACATGAATTTCAGATGGTAAAAATGTTTGGGACATACCCATTTGCCAAGATCCGTAATTGCCATTAAAAATATTGCCGCAAAACTACTCGCAAAAGTGCAATTTCAAGTTTGATGGAAAATATATTTAACCATGTTAAATGGCAATGCCCTGATGCACCCTACTGTATCATTTTATTCCGTCTAACACCAGATGATTTGCTTGTCAAGGGAAGAGTACTGCCACTCAATGAGTTAAATCACAGAATTGTAAGCCCAAAAGCTTTGTTTTGGAAGCTGGCTTCTTCGTCTAAACATGGATAAAGTGTGCATCGATAAAGCAAGCTAGCCTCTTAATACTGTACATGTACAAATGTGTTAATAGAGGGGGATATTAAAAGTATTAGCCCCCCACCTAGATGACCCTGTGATAATATAAGCTTTTTAGTCGCCCTGGAGAAATAGTTACTGTAAGCTTTCCTTAAAAGGCAAGCTCAGAATCAACTTCAAATTGTTGTTGTCCAAACGTTTGCCTAAGCCAAAAGCAGACATGGAAAAAATTAATTTAATAACCTGTTGTCAGACAGTCTTTTAAACGAACACACTTTTATTAATAAAAATTTCGCCGGCAGCTGTTTTTATATGCTGCGCTTATTTAACACAAAAGGCAAACAGAAATAGCAAAATTAAAATGGCTATTCCTTCTTTGAAATAAAATGAGCTTTTAGTCGTGTGGAATATATTTCAAATTCAAAACTACTAATAGAACCCTTGGAACTTTAGGTTTACAGTTTAAAACCGGCAAAATCATTGAATCGTAGGCTTTTTAAAGGCAGTAAAAATTAAACAATTATAAGAATGTATTAGTTACAACTATAAACAAGTTGAAGATGACGCTTTATAGACCTCGACCTCTAGGAAGAACAGTTTAGAACGTACTGATAGAGCTGGCCAGTATAAATATTAAATAAAGTTAGTGTAGTATTGGTTTCCTCTTGTAGTAACACTGGAGCAATAAACGAATAATGGTCCTTTAATACTGGACCTCTAGGGAGAACAGTTTAGAACTGATAAAGCTACGAAGTCTGTGTAAAAATACTGACCTTTAACACTGTTGGTAGTGGGTTCTGAGGCCTGTGCGAGCTAGGACGAAGACAAACGTTTGAAATTCGGGCTGTAGGACACTGTATTTCGATCGCACTTAGACGAATTTTGCCTTCGTTGCCTTTACCGATGATTTCCAATGGATGTTTGATGATCAAAGGAGACTGTTCCTCTCGAACTTCGTTGTCGATGTAAATCGTGTCGTAGGCCGAAGATGCGGCAATGGCGTCCTTGAGTCGTGTGTATGTACGATTGTACCCAACGTACAAGCATTTTGGACTGCGTTTCTTTAAAAAATGCCATACACCTAATCCACACTTCGTTTCGGCCCCCGACTTAAGCCACTGTCTCGAAGCTAGGAACCTTTCTTTGTATGCTTTCTGCCACGACTGTGGGTCCTCTTTTGGTTTGTTCGGCCAGTTCGGATGCCGCCAAGGGTTTCTGAATAAATACAACTCTTTCCAACGCGTGTTGTCCAAACTGCGGACTAACTCTGCCCAAATTTTCGAAACCTGACAACAGTGACATAAATCCACAGTGCTCAAATGCGACAGAATCACACGCCATAGTTCCAACGGCAAATTCTTGGTTTTGTCCTGCATGAAAACAGCGTTATTCCCAAAAGGTTGAAGCTTTTAGTCCATATTTTCGGAAGATTTAAAATATGTGCCCTTTCGACCGAAATATGACACGAAAACGCGTTGTTTCACGTCGGATATTCTAAATTCTAGAAATTGATAATTGTTACATGTTATGTAGATATTGTACGGACAATTCTAAGCTGCGTTCTGATTGGTTCTCAGCACATACTATTGTAACATTAATACCCAGAGATACTAGTATAACGAAGTGCGTATATTTACGCAGGTTTGTAAATGGAGTCTTGGCGTAAACTAAACGAGGATATATATCTTCACTTGCTATGTATTATTAATGTTTATTATTATTATTTATTATTATGTCTGTTATATATTTTATATTACATACTATTGTTATTTTACATTATTAATTTTATGTATAATTCCTTGTTCTGACAACATCAAGTGGCATTAACACATATTTTTATTTTTTTCAAATCAATTTATTGGACCATACCCAAGCGGTAAGAGACTCAAATTTCCATGCGAGACACTCCCTCCGTTTCAAACTATAAACATACTAAAACATATTTGTGTGAATAAACATATGTTAAAACTAGGCAAGGAGATGCAAATAAATCACCACAGCTAGAAAGAGCATACTAAAATTAGTAAAATTGCGAAGTTTGGTTGAGAAATATAGCCTTGCAAAGTTTGCAAATTTAAAAAATATAGCCTTGCAAAGTTTTCAAATTTTGTATACTTTTGTATTGCGTGAGGAAATTCCGACCATTTTCGGCCCAAATGTGGTAGCGATTTCCGCACGCAATACAAAAGTATACAGGGTCTATACAGAATTTGAAAACTTTGCAAGGCTATATTTTCCGCATTTTACAACATTTCGCAACCAAACTTTGTAATTTGACTAATTTTAGTATGCTCTTTCTAGCTGTGGTGATTTATTTGCATCTCCTTGCCTAGTTTTAAAAATTAGTCTATATCTATTGCTTGAGCACCATCCAATTCTAACTGCATACGTGTTTCTCAAACATTGGGTCCACTTCCTTGGGAGATTACCAATTTTAATAGAACTTGAAAGAGCTATCCAGTATAAAAAAAGTCTGCTGCCACGTAACGATCAATACTGAAACACATCAATATTAATTATCAAACTTCTTCAATAAAAATACCTTGGTATTGCAACTCTATTTCTTTTTCTCGCTTTTTTTGCGCTTGAAAATTTTTTGCACGAAACATCAATGCGCATGCGTATGAAACGTGTACTTCCTGTTCATTTTATAACATTTTGAAACTTGTGTCGAACAGTTCATATTGTTAATTTATTTGCGTATTTTTTGCAAATCGACGTGGTTTTTTCAAACCAAAGCAGTATGCCTGCACCTAGGAAAAAGAATAAGAAATCTTCTGTATTTAGCCATGAGTTTATCATCACAAATCACGGAGATATCGTCTCGTGTGTTTGTATGTTATTCATGGTCGGACTGTTGTTCAAGGTACGCCGATGCTACATGTTACAAACTTTGGAAAGTTCAGAAAACTTTTTGCCCTGAATTTTGTAAATTTTACAATTCTCCCGTTTTTTAGGCAACTCAAAAAGTGGCTAGTGTTTTCGTAGGTCCACAACATAATATAACAAGATATAACAACGGTAAGTTTTTTGATCGCTTCGTTGCTAAATATATAATTTAATAAGCTGCGTTCAAATTGAGCGGTTTATAAATGTAACGTTTCCTGAATTTGTATATTTCTGGCTTCCTAGAAATTAGGAATGCCGTTAGAATGTTCTACAAACGCTACAAACGTTCTAACCGAACAAATAGTGTATAAATGTAGAATGATTTTATGGAAAAATAGTTAAAATACTAGTATTTATAGGGGGTACAAATCACAAATTTTACTTTAATATTTGAACGGTATTTTATAAATCGCAGTCTACCGCTAAAAGTATTAGTTTAAAATAATCTTTAAACCCTTATTATTGTAATTGGTATTGTTTTTATAAAGTATTTTTTCCTCAAGGCAGGACAAAGAGCAAAAATCAGATATATTTCTAGAGGTTTTCCAGGGTTTTATATACGTGTTCGTATGGTACAGCATGTGGGACGGAAACTGAAATCATGTGCAGAAAAAACTGATCATGTGCAGAAAAAACTGATCATGTGCAGAAAAAACTGATCATGTGCAGAAAAACTTTCAAAATGTGCCCCATAATCTTTAGATGCTATTTTGTACAATAAATACTTGATCAGATTAAATAATCAAGGTTAATTATTAACAGTTAGGTCATGTTGCTGGAGTGTAATTATGATCTATTAAATCAATATATGACACCACCATACATAATTTCTACAGGCACTATACAGTTATATTCAAGCAGTCAGCCCATAGACATATGCAAGTAAAGCTTCATACCATGTTGTATTGAGAAATACAAGGAGAATTTCAATGTTTTTAGCAAAGGCCCTTTCAGACTTTGTCTTTTGAAAAATTCCATATTTTGTTGGTGTCTTTTTATCATTTGCGTGTCTTCAGGGAAAACCCTTTGGAACGTTTCCTTGGTGACTTTTGAAAAATAAAAGGAGAACTTCGCCATTTTTGAGTGACGAAGGGCCTTCACTCAAAACGTTGGAGTTCTCCTTGTATTGTTCAGGTAGTTGCATCCCTAGGCCTAAAAAAAATACCTGTGGCTCCAGTTCCCGACTGACCCTATTTTTTTCTGCCGACCCTATTAATTTTTCAACGAGATTGATCGTGCAACCCTATTTTCTCCGGGTGGTTGCGGGCTGCTCATACAGCGTGCCAAAATGGCGTCTGTTGTCACACTAATTATTGAACCAAATTGCCTAAATTCGTCCATAGGAAGTACACATCTCTAGTTGATATTGATGTCGGGACTCTACTGCAAATCGCCCAGCAAAAAACCCCGCCAAAACCATGAAAAAATATTCCAAAAAAAAATTTATTTCCGACCTACCGACCCTAATTTTTTCACAATATGAAACCGGAACCACAGGTATTTTTTTAGGCCCTATCAATCTGAAGCTTTTTTAACTAATTCCACTGCTTCGACTGTTACTAATTATGTTTGTTAATTAGACTGATTACATTTGTTACTTTTTTGTCAGATACTGGTGAGGTGGAGGCAACACACTATGCAGTTGGAAAGAAAGACATATGTACTATTTTCTTTTACTCTCTGGCGTGGATTGTTATTCATGCTATAATTCAAGAATATATATTAGATGTAAGAGGATTATGCAGCATAATATGCATATAGTATAATTTACACCACAGATTTTTCTTGGGCAGGGGTTCACACCCCAGAGAGAAAGAATGCAACCCTCAGCATCAGGGGTGGGGGAAAAGGCGACCACTGCTCACAGGAAATGTTAAACAGCTGCAGGAAATTTGTTTGAATGAAGATTTGCTATTGCAAATTTGAAGGAAACCTTAACACCCATGTCCCACTATGGGCGCAACAACATATGGTTGACAGTCATTATTCCTTGAATTTAAAACCATGGTCAGCTAGAACACTATATGTTTATACACATGCAGATTTAGCACAAAAATACTCTGTTGGTCTGCAGGAAATTTTTGTCTCCAGGTTGTGCTCCCGGGAAGAAAATAAATTTATTTTTTCCCGCCCTGCTCAGCATCAACCAGTGGATATTGAAATTTTACATGTAATTGCACACTGCCTAATTACCTGGTTAATTAACTTAATTGGCTAATTAACCTAAATTAACCTTTTTGTCTAATTTTTCCTTGCAGAAAATCAATCGTAAGTTCCACTTGTCCAAGACAAAAATTAGTCGATTCAACAACCTGGGCGGACATATTCCATTTTACTTCGCCTCAGCCGCGTGGGGGGCTGATATTATTTTAAAGGTAATAGTGTTAATCAAGCCATGTTGTCTTGGAAAGAACCAATGAAAGATCTACTGGTGCGTTTTTGTAAGGGTCACGAGATGGTGCCAATGAATACAAGACTGTTACATGTAATCATGGGCGGATTTACTGGGGGGAGGGGGTTAGGGGGGTTTAACCCCCCTAGAATCTCTCTAACCCCTCTAATAAAGTGTTCAACCCCACCTCCTATTTTGTGTGAAAGGCTTTAACCCAAACCCCTAACCCCTGCCAAAGGTCACTGAGTGGTGCTGCTTGCATCCCACCAAAAATTTTTCTACCCCTCCCTCCAAACAAATGAAAATCCGCAATTTCATGTAATGAAAGGCTGTTTAACATTATTTTCACACTCTGAGCACTACGATTTAAATTTTCTTTTGTTTAGGAAAGTTTACTTCCGAAACTTTCAAACTTGTGGCATGGTTATCCACACATTGAAATGACATTTATGGTCAAGTTTTATTTTCTATTGCAAATTGCTTACTGGATCCATTGCTTCCCAGAACTTTACTTTCTTAAAGCTAAAAAGGTTTGTGTATCATATATATCATATAAACTGAACTAATCTTATTTATACCAGATAGCTCTATCAATTCTAAACTGTAGTTTTGTAGAGGTTCACCAAGGGTCGTCTCTTATTGATCTAGTATTACTACAGGAGAAAACCAGACTACCTGGAGAAACTACCTGAAAAATATAAGGAGAATTTTGAAGTTTCGAGCGAAGGCCCTTCACCTGGTTCACTAGTAGGGTTGGGCGATATTTCGATATTTTGATTTATCGCGATATTTTCAATTGCGATTATCGTATCGAAGGTAGAAACTTGAGCGACGATATATCGAAATTATCGTCATGCTCGATGACTATTGTGATATTGCTTCACATGTGTATATAGCTGTTATAAAATCCTAAAAAATTCTTTCAATTCCTAGAAAAATATAGTTTTTAAAAGAATTAAAACGATTTCCTGAATTAAATACGAATTTAATACGACACAAAAGTTAATATTTATGTATTAATCTCACTGCTGAACAATGAAATTGCAGGCTTTGCTTGCGCTATGTGCCCATGGTATTTGTGCCAGCGGAGTTTATGGACAGTAAATATTAGACTAGAAGAAGCCTTCATATTACTTTAATTTGTTATATAAGCTTACTATGCTTTGATACTAATTAAAATTGAAAAAAATATGGTCATTGTTTTTATCGCGATATTATCGAATATCGTGATAATTTCCTTGACAATAATCGTGAGATTATTTTTTTAGTATCGCCCAACCCTATTCACTAGTAACTTCAGACGAAGGGCATTTGCTCGAAACATCGAAACTCTCCTTATATTGTTCAGGTAGATGCATCCCTACAAACGAAAGCATAAAATTATGCTTCAAGTATATTGTTTTATTTTTAGGAAGACCTAGTGCCTCGAATAAATATGTATTTGCAATATCTTGTCATTCTAATACCGGCATATATGTGCAAGTAAGTTCAGTAACAATATACAGCATGTATAGTATTTTTTGTGGATCGGGTATGCCGGCATAGCCATGGCAGTCTTGTTTGAGTTTTCCCACCATTCACAATGCGTCACCAATCCTGTGCAAGGCGGGATTTTGGTGGAAATAGTGGGGGAGGTGGAAAAAAGTTTAGGGGAGGTAAGGTGCAGCAGTCTAGCTCACGACCCCCATGGAAAGTTAGGGCTTAGAACAGGCCAAAGTCAACGATGTGACGTATGCATGTAGTGTACATATGTATCAGTGTATTAATGAATTATGACTGTACGACCCAGCCAATTTTGCCTTTCATTACAATTGCTACAAAGTTTCTTTCAAAACATTGCATATATTAAAAGGGTATTTGACACAGAGATGAATGGCTATCACTGTTTCAATTTTACAGAAACTTTCTTACGCAGTGTAGACCCTGAGCAACCATTAAATTTTCACTTTGATCTATCATTGAAACTTTCCCGAGGGGAGGTGCATGACTTTTCTGGGGAGGTACAAAACGATCTCAGGGGAGCCTCAAAATCTGGCCATGATCCTGCATATAGGGAATATATAGGTTGAACCCCACCTAGATGGTCAACTTTTTGTTGGTCAACTTTTTATTCACATATATAAGCTTATCATCAAAATATCTTACCATTCAATGAATTTTCATGTTAGTTTCACAAGACTTGCTTTGGTCTGTTTTGTCATTCACTATTGCGTGGAGTGTCTGTTCAACGCTATAAAAATCATGAACTACATGGGAAAAACAGAGACTTCTAAAAACACGTAAGTCTAATTGTCGAATGAGTGATAATTCGTAAAGAAAATTCAAAAGAATTGAATTAATCAATGTCTGAAAATCTGATATTATTCCAGGCTGGTGATTATCTGGGCATTGTTTTATATCGCTGCAAGGATTGCAGTTATAATACTGTCAATTGTCACAATCTGGTATGTACAATCACTTGAATATAACGTCTATGGGTCAGTTATTATTAGAAGTAATTGTCAATTAATTACTAGTAGTAATTACTAATTAGGCTAGCTAATTTGCTATTATTTTTTTCACTAGGATTGGTTTGCCGAAACAAGATAGTTCTGATAGATATGACATTGTTCCTAACTTCAACAAAAAACCTCTAAGGTACAAAAACTGCCTTGCACTGTACATTGTATAGTTAAACCAGACAAAAATTATCATGACATTGGTTACCAATTACAGATTATTCACTGGAAAGAAATTGTGAAATCCGTACTGTACAAAATGTTTTAAAGTTTGTTCGTTCACTGCAACCAGGTATATCAGTCATGTTTTCGCTCACTACTCTGGTTTAAATAAATGATTACAAAGCCCAGTCGAATTGTAATCAAGACCCAACGTTTCGACACTCCAGTCTAGTCTCTTTATCAGGGGTGATCCGACGGAAAATTTGTGTGCTTGGCGCACATTTTACAAAATCTTCTTTCTGCGGAAAATGTTCCCGAGTGGAAATGGGCGTTTAGTCTTTACAGTCATCTTACATTTTCCCCGTAGGATAATATTTCTGAGTGGCATCATCGCCATGCAAGCTTGGTTAACCTGGGTGTTCATCTCGCGTCAAGTCAGTTACTGGAGCGACGTGATGCAGTCAAAACGCCAGAAGACGGCAAAGAAAAAAGAAGTTAAAAAGAAAGGCAAGGAACAAAAGAAAGCCGTCGTCGAAGATGAATCTGAAGAGGAAACCCCGCTTGTCAATGGCAAAGAAAAAGTTAACTAAATTTTGCTTCGTGAGCTTCGCATTAACTTGCACTAAATCGCTATCAATGAACTTGTTATACTACAATGTTACCTGCATTTCGTAAGAGGGCAAACTAGGAAACATTGTTTTGTGGAAAAGTCTGAAAATGTTTATGTTACCTAGCATGATCCCCTGTTTGTAGCTTTTGATACACCAGGCGGAAATCGTAGTTTAAAAATTCAAATAAAAGAGCCGGGCAAATAATTTTATACCACCCATATTTTATGAAATTTTATTAGCTAACGTTTCGTTGTTATACGACATTTTGCTTTGCTACATATGTTTATATAATAGAATAGTTCTAAATTACGAAAACGGTATAACATCTAAAATTTGAAAAAGACCATATAGTCCATTTAAAATTTGAAAAAGACCAAAGTGAAGGTAAGGATTCCCTGTTTTCCATAAACCACCAAAAACATTCATTGTTTAGAAATATGTTTAATAATATCTTGATGTTTCCAGAAACTGTCGACCCTCGAAAACATTGTTGCAAAAACGTCTTGAAATCTTGATATTTCCTAAAATGTTCCCCAGTTTGTCCACTCTCGAAAATATTATTACAGTCTTTTGCAGAGACATCTAAACATTTTGATGTTTTGTTTAATCCTTTGCGGTTAGCTTACCCTCGAAAACACTGTCGCAAAAAACATCTGAAAATCTAGGATTTCCCCCAGCAATGGTCCACTATGTGCCCTTTAAACATTCCATACTAAAAAAACCTTTCCTTAAAGAAAGTGAAGAATTTGAAACAAGATTTGTCCTTCAAGTACGATGATTGCTGTCTCGAAAACATTCTTTTCTTCACTCATTTAAGCATGCCAGCATGACTCTCCCCTTGACGTGAAAATTGTCTGGCGTTAGACAGAGTAAAATAATAAAGTAAGGCGCCTCAGGGCGCATTGCCACTTGTAGGTCAGCATTTTAGCCCGACGTAATTTATATTCTGCAAGCAAAATGTTTTCTGGTTTGCTCAGCGCCCAAATTTAACCTTGCCATTTGGTCGAAACCAAATATTTAACTATATACTACGGTGCGCTTTTACTTATTTTTGATTTTGTTGTCAATAACATTTTGATATTTTGGAAAACAAGTCAGGTCCTACTTGAGATCAGGGAATATACTTAGCACAAAATATATGCTGTAAATCGTGAAAAGAAATAAACGAATATTGTAATGGCTGGAATTTTGTTGTCTTTTGCCTTTTATTTATAATCATTCGCGCAATATAAACGTCAAAATCTTCAATTGGACTAACTATTTGTACAATCATTGTCATAATTATTTCATTCTACTATTACTGATCAATCGCTGGCGCAAAGTGCCTTTAGTCTGGCTCGTTATGTATAATATAGTTGGCTCGTTATATATAATTTTCATAATTGTTTCATTATTAATTTCATTCTGTTGCTGTGTTTCAATGAGCATTACGATGCAGCAGATCTCAATGGACTATTTGCATTATAGACTAAATTTTGATCTGGACAAAAATTTCATCACAGCTTGAAAGAGAATCACAAAATTAGTAATATTCCGAAGTTTCGTTGCGAAATGTTGTAAAATGCGGATAATATAGCCTTGTGAAGTTTGCCGTTTTTCGGTTTCAAAATTTAGTCTATAATGCAAATGGTCCATTATTCATTTACCTTCAAATGCAAGACTAACAACACAGGGTGCCCACCCCTTGGTGAAGGTGAAATTCAAAGACTTTTCCAGGACTTTCAAGGGCTTTTTCAGTAAATTCAAGGACCTAGAACTGGGAAAAATCTTTGAAAATGGCACGGATGTTAGACTTTAACCAGCAAATAATTCACTTTATTCAGTAATTCTAATCAAAATCACTAATGTTGGCACAGCTGGAGGTTAAGGAAATTAATTCCAGGACTTTCAAGGACTTCTACTGATTTTCAAAGACTTTCCAGTCCTGGAATTGTTTTCCAATTCAAGGACTTCCAAGGATTTTAAAAGCCCGTGGACACCCTGACTACATATAATGTAAAGAATGAACATTATTTTCTCACTCTGGTAACTGCAGGTTGACCATCATCTGCTGCACGATACTGCTTGGTGAAACGTGCGTGTTGATAATCAGCATAAAAATTACAATTAAAATCAGATAATCAAATACCTCTGTTCTCCAAATCAATATATTTTCATGGATGCTTCAAAGAGCTTCGCGAGTTCCTCCTCACCCGGGGCTCCGGCTGGGGCTAACTTGGTGACCCTGTGCTGAGGAACCGTGCCTCGAACCAGGTCGCTCACGTCATCATTGCTGTAACCAACGGCAACCAGGCCATCGTCGATTCCAAGGTCGTACATAAACTTTGTGAGGAAATCTGATAATAATCTCCCAGCGTCATCTTTGCGTACACCGGTTACATCCGCTCCTAAAGAAACAGAGAATTATCCAGTGTCACTACAGAAGGAAACCTAAACTAAATTAACTTTATTTATACTGGATAGCTCTATCAGTTCTAAGCTGTTCTTCCTAGAGGTCCAGTAAAGATCATCTCTTATTGATCCAGTGTTACTACAGGAGGAAACCTAAGCAAAACTAACTTTATTTATACTGGATAGTTCTATCAATTCGAAACTGTGCTTCCTAGAGGTCCAGTAAGGATCATCTCTTATTGATCCAGTGTTACTACAGGAGGAAACTTAAACTAAACTAACTTTATTTATACTGGATAACTCTATTAGTTCTGAACTGTTCTCTTTAGAGGTCCAGTAAGGATCATCTCTTATTGATCCAGTGTTACTACAGGAGGAAACTTAAACTAAACTAACTTTATTTATACTGAATAGCTCTATTAGTTCTGAACTGTTCTCTTTAGAGGTCCAGTAAGGATCATCTCTTATTGATCCAGTGTTACTACAGGAGGAAACCTAAACTAAACTAACTTTATTTGTACTCGATAGTTCTATCAGTTCTAAACTGTTCTCTCTACAGTTCCAGCAAGAGTAAACCATTATTGTTCCAGTGTTACTACAGGAGGAAACCAGAGCCCAAAGGCCAACCTGTCATCTTTCTCTGTGGTGGAAACAGAACACCGGGGGCCCTACACCCAAGGGCCCAAAAACATCGTAACATTGTTCGAACCTCTTTTGCCATGCTGTGCAATCTCACTTCCATGGGGTTAATGAACTTCCACAATAGTAAGATGAAGATATCAACGACAACAATGACGATTACCATCCCAATTAAACTGCTGTTACTTAGTCTGTCAATCTAGGAAAATAAGCAAGAATGAATTGATATCCCTCGATCACATATACACGATACTAACCTTCAACAAAATTCTAACGTAAATGCAACTCTAACCCTCTGGTCTTAACCTGAACTAACTTTTACACGCCTCCCCTAGTTCCAACACTAATCCTGACAGTACCTCAATCCGAATCTTAATAATTCTACTTTACACAAATTTATTTTGCCGAGGCAAGGAAAGAGTTTGATAACTTTGAAAAATCCTTTGAGGACATAGCGTCTATTCCTCTCATCACACCATAGATCTTTAAGAAAAAAACTATACTGTGTGCCCTTGAAGGATTTTTTAAAGCTAAGGACCACTGTGGGATCTAAACTCACCTTAAATCGCATTATCTCGCGGCGAGTTTAGGCGAGGTACCACCCCAGAGTAGGCCTAAGCTAATAATTCTGGCCTCAACCCTATAAACCTGACATTTCGGATAAGAAAGAGTTAAAACATACAGAGTATTTCAGCTTTCTGTTCGTGAATATTTTGTACACTCGCCAGGTCTTGACGAACATTGAGCCAAACGATAGCGAGAAACCAAGACACAGGATCCACGTACGCAGCTGAAATGGTACAAAAAAACTAAGATGATCTCTCATAGACACAAGTTGTACGAATGCTGGATACCGCTATACATCAGATATAATGATTTTTTGTAAGATTTCTTAAATTGGCCGTTGTTTGGTATAACCCAAGCTAAACATTATTATTAATAAAGTTTCCTTTTACTAATTGTGGGATCCATATTGTAAAGGTTGAAAAAAATCACAGGCGCTCTCTGGCTTTCGTCTGTGGTAACGTAACTCCAGTAGTAAAGCAACATTAGTACCACTGTGGTTCCAGTATGTGCCTTTCATATTTGTGGCAAAGTTTGATTTCTGCAATATTCAGTTAGCTGAGGCTATCATTTCCACTCACGTGAGAAGAGAGACATCAGCATGCTTTCCGCAACACTTCCTCCTGTAGTAACACAGGATCAAAAATGGAAGATCTTTGCTGCACCTCTATGTGGAGAAATGAATGGATAGAGCTATGCGTTACCTTGCACATTAACAAAAACTTGTTCGTCTCCCCCAACTCTACAGGGTACCCAAAGAAAACCACCGTAGACAAACACATCATTACACCAAGAATAATAATATTATTGAACAGCGGCGCTGATTTTCTAATATACCTAAAAATGAAACTTTATTGTGAGAAAACGACTAAAGCAATAACGAAATGCACGGTTAAACTAAGCACTATCGTACTACAGATCGTGCTCAATCAGCAGCTGAGAGTGGAAAATAATGTCAATGATTTTCAATATATGTAGTTGTCTTGGAGTGGCGAAGCTAGCCATAGCAACAGTGTGTTTTTATTATTCAAACACTTAGAAACGTAGTGTCTTATTTAGATTCAGCATTACTAGCATAGTTGCCATGACTACTGTAGTTGCCATGACTAGTTACCATGACTACTGTAGTTGCCATGACTAGTTGCCATGACTACTGTCGTTGTGAACGTGGTGAACCTCAAACGTGGTGAACCTCAACTCGTGTCAACGAGTCTGAGGTTGATCACCATCTGCTGTCTTGAATAAATACGTATCTCCATCTATCTTTACCCTTCATTTCTGTGGTAGGTATTGAAAATTAAAACTCCGATGGCCAGGATTACACCCAGACCAGCGACAGTACAAATTGGAAGATAAATAGCGAGTGGTATGTTGAGAAGAACTGTTCTGTGACGAGATCTGTCGTTTGGTACACGACCATCTGCAGAGAGAAAAAGTATGCAAATTATTGATCCAGTGTTACAGAATATTTATTCGGATAGCTCTATCAGTTCTAAATTGTTCTTCCTAGGGATCCAGTAAGGATCATCTCTTATTGATCCAGTGTTACTACAGGAGGAAACCTAAACGAAACTAACTTTATTTATACTGGATAGCTCTATCAGTTCTAAATTGTTCTTCCTAGAGATCCAGTAAGGATCATCTCTTATTGATCCAGTGTTACTACAGGAGGAAACCTAAACTAAACTAACTTTATTTATACTGGATACCTCTATCAGTTCTAAATTGTTCTTCCTAGAGATCCAGTAAGGATGATGTCTTATTGATCCAGTGTTACTACAGGAGGAGACCTAAACTAACTTTAATGCTTGTAATTTTGTTTATACTGGATAGCTCTATCAGTTTGTTTGCCCTATTAAGCATAGAGGTACAGTAATATAAAGTCTAAATGCACCCTTTAAATGCAACTCTATTATTTGCAAACAGACTGTACCTATCCATAGATCCGGATTCTTTACATCTAAAACCAGTGTTCCTGTGGTACCATGATAGCTTCCCACCAATATATTTGTTTTATCTAAAGAAACAAATGCGTTAGGTTTCGGGAAGCGTGACGGGGATGATGATCTTCAGAAATATCGACACTTAAGGTGGCTCCCTACAGTTAGTATAGTTTAAATACGATTTATATAGATCAGACTTCATCCTCGCGATCTGCGCGTGGAATCTTCGTGTTTACTGTTGGGCAAAAATATTGAAACAAGCCGCGGGAAGTTTTTTGGCGTTTTTATCTACAAAGAAAGCTCCAGTTTTTCATTATAATCCTAATTTTTTTGTTTAATTTTGATGTTATTAACTAGTTTAGCCAATCTTTTAGTGTGTTTTTACGTATTTACGTTCAGTATTGTCTTTCATATTGCTCAAAATTTTCAACTTGTTGTGTTGCGAACTGTCAAACTGAAATGATACTGTCTTCTATAACTCTTGAACAGTAGTGAACTGTCGCCGAAACTTATGTAAGTTCTGTCAATCAATTCCATTCACAGGTATCGATTTATCTGCGAAATCAAATAAAACAGATGAGTTGTTTTATATGAAAAGTTAAACTTGTAGTTCGATGTTTTGAAAAGTTTTCACACCGATTTTAACAACAAAAACAAATGTAAACTAACACTGGATTTAATACAATGCGTATAATAGTGTTCTTTTTTATTAGTATTTTCAAGATTAATATTTTATTTTCATGTCAAACAAGTCAGAAATATCTGTTTTCGCATGTATTGTAAGCCAAAAAGTTGAAATCACTATAAATCACACGCTACAATTGACACGCATGCGCAGATCGTGCTCATGTCGAGTCGATTTTTTTTCATGCTGGCCACGCTGATTTTAGCGATGATTTTCTCGTGTTTTCTTCGGTGAAATTTTTTTAAACTTTGTATTTTTGTTATACAAGACGAGTGGTACAACATATCCAAATTTTATATATTTATATTTTATTTCTACAAATAACTTTTTCTGTAACCGTAATTCACGAATATCTCGAAAACTTATTTGTAAATTCCCTTCAACTTTTGATATGTTTTTCCTTTATGGACCATAAATCTTCAAAAAAAATTTCAGAAAAATTCACCAAAGGAAAATATAGATATTGTCAATTTATTGTGAAATTAGACAATAAAAGTGCAAAAGATTAAACATCATGGTTGCCATGGCAACACGAACACTGTTTTAATTTGTTCATAAATGGACAGCACACAGCTTCTGAACTTTCCTGGAAATGATCATATTGCCTTGTCTTAAGTGTATCTAATATAAATTCGGTTCAAAGCGAACTTTACTCAAAATACCTAGAATTTTAGAGAACTGTAGGGAGCCACCTTAAAGGATGAAGATAATTATACTACATCCAGGGACGCCGGAACGATGTGAAGGCAAGGGGGGCAGATTTTCGCGAAAGGGCACTTTTGAATTGATATATACTAAGAGATGTTTGCAAAACATCGGGAGTTGAACTTCGCCTAATCATGTTTTCTATTTATTGGATGATAGGGGTGTGAAGGGGTTCTCCGCCAGGCGATTGTGCCATTCTTGAAGCTCGACGACTGCATTTCTTGCGTTTTCTGAAGCAAATTCGTAAAAGAATTGCACTAACATTTCTGTCAATTCGCTATTTCGCCAAGGCAATCCTTTAAATTGAAAGGGTACCTTTGCCCCCTTGCCCCTCCTGGTAAAGGGCAACGGGGGCTGCTGCCCCTCCTGCCCCCCAGTTCCGGCGTCTCTGACTACATCATTCTCTCAATTGTATTCATTGACCGCCAATATAAGCAGAGACGTAGCCATGGAGGTAAATAAGGGGGAGGGGTTCAGGACTCAAGTTGGAGAAGATTTGCGAGATAATTAATATAGGTGAAACGTAGGAAATAATAGTGTCTATTAAAGTCAAGCATCAGGTCCCTTACTTCTTATTTGATACAAATTCAAAGTCCCAATCCGTCCTTGCTCTTTCTCGACCTCTACAGTTCCCTAAACAAGACAGAGCAATCAATCACTGTTATCCCAGTAATAGCCAATGGACCGTTTGCATTATAAGACTAAATTTTGATCTAAACACCTAGACAAAAATTTCATTACAGCTTGAAAGAGCATAACAAAATTAGTAATATTCCAAAGTTTCGTTGCGAAATGGTGTAAAATGCGGATAATATAGCCTTGCGAAGTTTGCCGTTTTTCAGTCATTTTGTATTACAAACGGGAAATTGACAGCCCCAAAGGGTATAGGCAATTCCAGCTTTTAGTTTATGCGTGCAGGGGACGATGGGAAGTGAGGTATCACATTGCTGATTATGCTGAAAAAATAGAAATGGTGGCCGTGTAAACACGTAGTGATAGCTTATACTTGTAAATGGAAATATTTCGGTTGTTTTGGTAGTTTTTATTGATATTTTCCCGCATAATCAGCACTATGATACCTTACTTCCCATCATCCCCTGCAGGCATAAACTAAAAGCTGGAATTGCCTATTGGGCTGTCAATTTCCCCCGCGTAATGCAAAATGACTGAAAAACGGCAAATTACTTCGCAGGGCTATATTATCCGCATTTTACACCATTTCGCAACGAAACTTTGGAATATTACTAATTTTGTGATGCTCTTTTAAGCTGTGATGAAATTTTTGTCTATACTTGTTTAGATCAAAATTTAGTCTATAATGCAAAAGGTCCATTCAGAGTCTCGACTGCCCGTCCAAATAACGCGTTCTGCGTCCGGCTAAATTTCATTACATGTTATATATTCAAAGATTTCAATTGTTCAATCATCACTTGAACATGAAAAAAGCTGCCCAAAACAAACCTTGATTCGCTTTAAATTAGAAAATATTATCCCTTAAAAACTCTATACAGAAGACAAAACATGCTACTGTACAAAAATGATTTAATGACACTTCAATTTGGCTCACACAAATATAGTGATAATTGAACAGTTCAATACTGTTAGTGTAACATGAATGCGTTTAATTAAGGACACAATACTCACAGTTATTCCTTCAAATTTGGTAGCAAAAGCAACCTTTACGAGCTCATCAGCCAGATCCTTGTTTCGGAACGGCATTTTATCTAACGAGCTGTTCATAGCTTTCAAAATAGGAAGAGATTTATTGAGCGTCAGAGCCATATCCCACACCGTGTCAAACATATACGAATGAACATGTCTGGTTAGAAAGCTACGAGACGTCTTCGCACGGTGTTTATCCATATACGCTCTGTATTTCTCGATACTCTGAAACAAAAATACCATTACTAAACAAACAAACGAACGAACAAACAAACAAATTAACAACGACAACAACATCATCACCATTATTCATTCCAATCATATCGCCACCACCAGTATCATAATTTTCGCTGCCAATACCAAATAAATTAAACTAGTATTGACGCTAAACCATGACTTCAGTTTGTATTTTTTCACCACCATCACCACGAAAATATCATCAGCATCGCCACCATCACCATGGGAACATCACCACCGCCATAAACCACTATCACCACCAACACCATGAAAACATCATCACCATCACTATCACCACCAACACCATGAGAACATCACCATCACCACTATTACCACCAACACCATCCACGCCACCACCCAGTCTACCACCGACAAGATCGTGATCACAAATACCATGAGAAGTACAACAACATCATCACCATCCACGCCACCACCAACAACAACAACAAGATCATTACAACACTTTCCACTTACCAAACCGGAAATTGATCTCTTGCCATCTTTTCGGAAATTTTGGTGTTTAAATAACAGCATGCGCTCACTGATCAACCTGTAGTCTTCTTCCGAACATCCAGAAGCTACTCCAAAGCGACCGCCTGGTGCTGTGAGCCATTTATCCACTGTCTCTACTTGAGGATGAACAATCCACACATAGTTCTGGCCGAACATACCCAATTTATATGCCTAGAAATGACAAATAACAATAAAAATAGGATTATTGGTGTGGCATATGTGTGAAGCTTCAATTCCGGCTATATGTTATGAAGTATAAAGTTAGTTTAGTTTTTGCCCTTCAAGGGGAGGCTTCAATAAAGGCTTAGTATATGTTTAAAAATTACCTGGCAGAAAACACGATACGCTCGAACAAAAGTAAATTGTGCAAAGAAAATTTTGATGTCAGCTGCCTATAAATACGAGACATACAACAGTTTATTACAGATGAAAAGGGGAGGGAATCTAAGCAAAAAGAGTGAACCACAAAAATTGTGTAAACTACAAAATAAACCTAAAATAAAGTACTTGTGAGAGTAACGCCAAAACGATTTTATGTTTTGAACACTTCTATCGCAAAAAAATCCTAATTGCCTCTTAATTGCGCCACACAAACAGAAATATTTATGCTTGGTATTAATTTTTATATTTCAATTCAAAAGTCTTCCAATTCAACTATACCTTAAGTCTTTCTAAACGGCCTTTAATCTCTTCATTACCATTGGAAAGACGATTATTGCCGCCATCAACGCTTTCTATTCCCACCACAGTAATGTTATTGCCTCGTAATTTATCTATCAAATTATCTGTAATCTAATGAGAATATAGTACCGTCAACAGTGTTTGCAGAATCATGTAAAGTAAACGGTTGAGACATATGGTTAATGGAGACATGATAAAGCTAAACTAAGTAGGCTTCAAAGCGTCTATATTGAGCTACGGTCTTATGATTTGAGACGGCTTCATCGTGCACAAATCTTTGGTTAATTTAAGAGAGGCTATTGATGACCAATTTCTTTCTGAACAACAAGTGTTCTTTCTCAACAATAACCAGAATCTGTCAAAACCTCGTCTTACCGTAGCTGTAAATCCTACCTTATTAAATATTCCATCGTGTTCGTGGTGGTCATAAACGATCCCAACCCGTGTCCAGCCAAACTTCTTTAACAATGCAGCATGAGCATTGCTGAACGGCGAAGTACCGGGATACATCCGAACCAGATGTTGAAAACTGTTATAGATGTCCAGTACAGGCGAGGTCGCACCATATGTATACTGAAAAAGATAGCTCTATCAGTTCCAAACTGTTCTTCCTAGAGGTTCAGTAAGGATCATCTCTTATTGATCCAGTGTTACTACAGGAAGAAACCTAAACTAAACTAACTTTATTTATACTGGATAGCTCTATCAGTTCTAAACTGTTCTTCCTAGAGGTTCAGTAAGTTTCATCTCTTATTGATCCAGTGTTACTACAGGAGGAAACCTAAACTAAACTAACTTTATTTATACTGGTTAGCTCTATCAGTTCCAAGCTGTTCTTCCTAGAGGTTCAGTAAGGATATTCTCTTATTGATCCAGTGTTTCTACAGGAGGAAACCTAAACTAAACTAACTTTATTTATACTGGATAGCTCTATCAGTTCTAAACTGTTCTTCCTAGAGCTTCAGTAAGGATCATCTCTTATTGATCCAGCTAGTGTTTCTAAAGGAGGAAACCTAAACTAGACTAACTTTATTTATTTATACTGGATAGCTCTATCAGGATTATCAGTTCTAAACTGTTCTTCCTAGAGGTTCAATAAGGGTTATCTCCTATTGATCCAGTATTCAGTTCCAAATAGTGTGATGTTGTATATGATTTAGTTTGGCATTGTATGGTATGGTATGGTATGGTATGGTATGGTATGGTATGGTATGGTATGGTATATGGTATATGGTATGGTATATGGTATGGTATAGTATGGTATGGTATGGTATGGTATGGTATGGTATGGTATGGTATATGGTATATGGTATGGTATGGTATAGTATGGTATGGTATGGTATGGTATGGTATATGGTATGGTATGGTATATGGTATGGTATGGTATGATATGGTATGGTATGGTATATGGTATGGTATGGTATGATATTGTATAGTATGATATGGTGTGGTATGGTATGGTGTATGGTATGGTATATGGTATGGTATGGTATGATATGATGTAGTATGGTATGGTATGGTATATGGTATGGTATATGGTATGGTATATGGTATGGTATAGAATGGTATGGTATATGGTATGGTATGGTATTTCGATATGACAAATCAAAGCAATCTTACTTGCAATATGTAAAACAGGTTAACTGCATTGGCTGCGGCAATCGTGGTTGTGGAGTAACTTGGTCCAATGATCGCTGGAGGCAATGATTCATTTAAACACTCTCTTCTTTTTAGAATATCATGTATGATATAGAAAGTCTTTGTTACTGACGCCTGAAAATATTTAAAACACACTGAGTTAAATTAGTAGTTCACTCAGACACAAACTCGTGTTTTATCAGATATAAAACGTTCGGCGTGACGACAGCTTATCGTGGAATACTACCTACACTGGGCCACTACACTGGGCTATTTTTTTTTCAGGTAGTTCAAACACAAACCACGACAGCTTATTGTAGAATACTACCTACACTGGACAACCACATTTGAGATATCTTTTTCAGGTAGTTCAGAAACAAACCACGACAGCTTATTGTAGAATACTACCTACACTGGACCACCACGTTTGAGATATCTTTTTCAGGTAGTTCAGACACAAACCACGACAGTTACTTCCTACGCTCGACTCCTTTATGGAAAAAACAGAATAGTCTACTTACTACTGTGTCGTATATCCTTGGAACCAAGTGATAATCTTTCAAGATATCTGTACGATTATTTATCAAGTCCATCGCATACTTGGCTGCTAGGCCATATGCAAAACGGTCTACATCCAAGTTATACAAAGGAGCTAGTACTGGAATAGTAACGTTTTTCTTCGTGCTTGATGAACAGCGAGCTAACGAAGCCAATAATAATACGAAGAATGCCAGATGGGGTGCTCTGCATTTGAATCGCTCCATCTGAAAGCAAATATTTAAACATCGTAAAGATTTTCTACTATACAGTAGATTGCATTCTTTGTTTGCAATCACGTGACTTTTTATCCCAATGATGGGCAATCAAACAACTTGTGGACGATTTTTCTCCTATCAGAATGGTTATAGCAAGAAAAACTGAACGGTACTTCATCTTTCGAGTCTTAAATTACTGTCTCTAAACTCGATCAATACATTAAAATAGTCGTTGTTTGTTATACCTGCCCGTCAACTGAAATCCCAAAATTACGTCATTGCAAAGAAAGAATAGGTTGGTGGCTGCATTGAAGATGTGATTCTTGAAGATGAAGTATCATGGCTAAGATAGATGAAGTGACATTGAAAGAAAGCTCTGATTGATAGGGATACAACTACTTATAAAAAAGCGAAGTTCCAAAAGCTTTCTTATTATTGCCACAACCTACACTGAGCGTTCAAAATAGTGTCAGCTTTAGCGTGGTTAAACAATGTTTGTCATCATCATCAAGTGTACTTAGGACAGTATTTTTCAAAACACCACAAAAGATGTAAGCATGTTGAAACATCGCGTAATGGGCTAAATATAGACAAAACTTAAACAACGCTTTAAATTTGAACAAACAAGATGCAGGTACTTCTTATAATAATAGCTCAAAAATAACAACTAAACAAGTCGTTATTTGCACGAAACAAAACAGTTTTGAATGTTTTTAAACACGGACCCCCCCCCCCCCCCCCCGTTTATATCAAATCAATACTTTACTGCGCAATGAGAAAGTCGCCCCCGATATACATGAAACTGGATTACGTTGACTATTTAACGTTTCAGGAATATCTATAACACGTAAAATTGCCATAACATGTCAAAATAAGACAAGGGGGAGATTTTGTGAGCAGACATTACTCCTGAAGCGCCATGTTGAGGTCGTGACAAACAGAGAGTCATTCGCTCTATATATAGTTTAACGCCAGTTTGGATGTTGACTTTAGTATCTTTCGTTGCGGAGAATTCACAGAATCATCGGACATATGTGAAATTGTATGTGGAATTAGAATATTTCACATGTAAAAATGCTCATTTGATAAGCGAAATTTAAAATTTTCGCATATGAAATTTGAGTTTTACATACTGCACGTATTTTTCACATTATACCTGAAGTTCAGTTGAAATAACATTGAAAATTAACTTCAGATGTTAAACTATTATTTCTGGAATTGGAACAACATATTGAACTGTTTGTTAATGAAAAAATTAGGCTATTTAGTTATTTAGAAAGAATTACTTTGTTGCTTAAAACCATCTCCTTAGCTCGTCCTGTACCAAGAAAATATGAAGGATGTTGAGAAAACATTTCCTGATGTCGAAATCCGGTTATAAAAATATATTATTCATCTTATCTTTTGAAGACAAATAAACTCAACGGGGCTACCCATCCTGCAGTCGTTTTTTATTCTAATAAACTAATCTATTCATCGGCCTTCAAGCAATCAAGGGTCTATTCATTTTTCTCAATTAACACCTGACAATTTCACAAGAGAACGCACATCAATTAAGTAATATACTTTTTAAAGTAACTCAAGTCTATATTAATGATCTCAATTTTCTACATGTTTTATAGTTTATATATATAGTAGCCAGCGGGTAGATGTTAATTGCATTTAAAATAGAATATATCCTCCCATAAATCATAATGCCTGTGGCTGTGCACGTTCTTTTTCTGCAAAAGAAACATTTCTAAACTGTTCTGTTATAGAAAGTATACGAGTTAATTGACTCACATAAAAAATCATATATATATATATATATATATATATATATATATATATATATATATATATATATATATATATATATATATATATATATATATATATATATATATATATATATATATATAGTATATATATATATATATATATATATATACTTACGAGTCATGCATTGAATTCATAAATCATGAATTCATCAAGTGATTTAATCGTTATTTGAATTCATCAAATGAATGTGGCAATTAAGCTTCACTTGATACGAAACAAATTTGTAGTGAAATAAAGTTCTTATATATATGAACTCCTGTTTGTCATCTAATCTTATTAACTAAATGTATTAGTATAGGGCTATGATAACACTTTATCAACTGCATAAATAAAATAATGTAAAGCAAACTTATTAAACAGATTTCATTATTATTCAGAACTTATTATCTTGAATTGAATGGCAAAAAAACAATTTAAATCAGTCTACCTGCATATTCATCACGTATCGCTTCCTATATTACAGAATACATAGATTAATTGTTAAATTCCCCAGTTTTCGGGTTACTTAATTCACTTGCTTGACAGCCACAATCACAACCACAGCGAATATACAATGTATGTTTCCTATGCAGATTTTATTTTGACAGGTAGCACGGATGCACTCAATAACAGAAATGCTGGCTGTAGATAACCAAACAGGTGTTTCAAGTACAAAAACAAGTTAGAACAGCGCAGTATTTTTTCCATTATTTTAGCCTTGTAGTTTAGCACTTCATATAAATTCAACACGATAAAATTTCTTGACAATTGTTTAATATATAATTTTAACTATTTCACGCAGTATTCGATGCAATTAAAGAATATAAAAACGAACTTTTAAACGCGATTATAATTTATGTGGATTATTTGCTTATCATGACATATATTGATATATAAAGGCGTGCTTCAAAACTCATAGTTTTTTTATTTGATATTATCTTTAAATTTTTAAATAATTTTTTGGCTTGAAATAATTATTTATCACAAGCTAAACTTACCTGGTTACTTCAATAAAGTAATTTAATGTTTATATATCACATGCATATAATAGAATTAATTTACATAGGACATTTTCGAATCGCTTCGGTCTAAAAAACTTCAACATTAAAATTTTTCCAATGAATTTCTTATTTTGAGTCGCGCAATAGTTTGTCTATAACATCAGACAACTGATATTCTCAGTATTTTTAGCCTGTGTCGCTTTAGTTATTTCGAAAGAATTACTTTGTTGCTTAATTAAACCCATCTTTTGGCTCTTCCCGTACCGATAAAATATGAAGGATGTCGAGAAAATATTTCCTGATGCCGAAATCCGGCTATATTCATGATATATTATTCATCTTATCTTTTGAAGACAAATAAACTCAACGGGCCGGGGCTACCCATCCTGCAGTCGCCTTTGATTCTATAATAAACTAATCTACTCGGCCTTCAAGGGTCTATTAATTTTACTCAAACACTAAGCTTGACAATTTTAATTCAGTGTCAGAGAGAACGCACATCAAGGTATTATACTTTTTAAAGTAACTCAAGTCTATAAAGATTTCAATTTTCTACATGTTTTTATAGTTTATATGTAGTAACCAGCGGGTATATGTTAATTATATTTAAAATAAAACATATCCATAAAAAAATATATATATATACTTCAACAAACTTCAACAAGCTCACGAGTGATGCATTGGATTCATCATAGTCAAACTGGCCATCATATCTTCAGCATTTTCTTCATTTATAGACTCTGCACGCGGCTCAGACGTTGGTTAGAGCATTACACGCGCAGGGTCGCAGTTTCAATTCTATATATATATTGTCAGTCATACTTTACATATTAATTAAAGCCATAGAGATTCATCCATTCAGATATTGTATAAAAAAACTGAAACATTGCCTACTTTAATGAATTTGTCTTCAATGCTATTGTAAGTCAGTAATTGACATGTACAGTTATATATTATTTATATTTCTTCATCGATACAATATCACTTGTTCCATTATCATGTGAAAGGAAAATCATTTTCATGCAAAACTAATTGACTGAAAATTGATTGATACAAAAATGATCCGACAAACATTGGACAAAGAAAGATATACTCCGTCCAATACTTTGTACGAACGCACCAGACGGAACCATCCATGCAGGTGGACTTCCCTGGGTTCATCGACACGACGGGGAATTGCATGCCAAATTTGTTAACACATAGAAAATTCAATTTGTCATGTCCATACGAGAAGCGAGCCAGCCCGGCTAGGCGAGATCTCACCTTGCGTCAGGTAGGATCTCATGCAGTCAAGTGCAGAAGACTTTAATCCACCTGATCGCGGGATGGTTGACCTAGCATTGAATGACAAATATCCCCGGCACACGTTACCCCCCTCCCCATTTTTTTCAAAGGACCAAAAGTGCCCTAGCTTTTTGTGATGACTAGTGCGCTCTTAATTGTACAAGCTATATATAATGTTGCTGTAAATACTATATTAACATCGAAGGTTCCCTTAATTTTTGTTTCCTGAACAAATTGAATTGTTAAAAATGCTAGATGCGCGACCAGGATTCATAATAAATTAAGTTTCTGAAACGTTCTCTGATCATAAATTTTTATTTAAATCACAAGCTTTTGACCGCCAGTCTGCAGTCTTCATCATTTTACCTGTGAAGACTGCAGACTGGCAGGCGAAAGCTTGTGTTTTAATTAAAAAAAAATTTACGATCAGAGAACGTTTCAGTTGTATTCTTTCCAACTTGTCAGAATCTTTATATTTGAAAGCCTTATCCTTCGAATAAAAACGCGGCTTGCTAAACAAATTACGAAATTACCAGTGTACAAATTATAAAACATATAAACTAATTTGGAAATGAGCTCAGATCACATTCTTAGATTTTATAGAATGTTTTCAATGTTTTTCAAGTTATTCTAATTTCTACAAAAGTCTTTTCAATTGATACATGCTTGCAAAAAGAATGTTTCCAGTCAATAATAGATACATTTCTACCTACAAAAAAACTCTAGAAATAAAATTTCACACCATTTATTTTGCCGTTTGCATACAATTTTCCATATCAAAAAACTTTTCTTACCTCAAAAAAAGCCCTTGAATGTCAAATGTTAATGTAATTTTAACATAGTTTAGACAGCCGCCCAAATATTCTCACTATAAAATTGTTCTTGTTGCCTCAACTTTTGTTTGTTGGTTTTGATCGCTTCCAAAATTAATCATGTTTTAATTTCCCTACAAATCTTCGCAGCTGTCGTCATATTGCTATGGCAACAGCAAACATCCTTGAGGTTTCCGTCCAAGCTTAATCTGTGAGTTTTTATTTAATAGTTTGACTTTTAGCTTAAAGAAATTTAAGGAATTGATCCTATAGTTCTAAGCTGTAAGAAATTTTTGTGTGAAGCTTTTGCAAATACTAGCTTGGTAACCAAAAACTAATTAAAAAGTATTGTGGATCTATTTTAAGCTAATAAAATTAAACATAGGTTACACTATAAATAGTTTCTATAAGATGACACAGTAGGACCTGTTCGATACTTTTAAATATAGCAGTATAATTAGCATATTACTTTAGGCTAAAAACGAATTTATCGATGCAATATTCCTAGTCCTTCCTCCTGTGATGAGAGAAATTTTGATACAGTAACCCAGCCGTTCATTCATTGGCAGTCTCGATATCGTACCATTTGCGCATGTTTCAAATTCAGGAAGTGTATATTCTCTTATATTCTCCCGATTAGAGAGCGACAGTAGAATATCGATCAGATAAACGGCTCTTGATGTAGTTGCATCAATATTTTTTCATCGATTACTGATTAGATTTATGAGATTACATGAGAGTTGTCAGTCACGAAAGATTGATTAGCTGTTCTTAATAGTTTCCCCAGTGGCGTAACTACTATGGGCGAACCCAGGGGGCCCCCAACCCCAATGGGCCAAATGCCCCCCAGGCTTAGGCTGTAAAGCAAAAACATTGGTCAGGGAGGCCACTGATATGTTACAATGTCGTTTTTTGACTATCAGAATTCCGGCTGTAAAATCTCTCGCGAAAGTCCGGGAAATGGCATTTCAAAGACTCTAGATTCAAAAATTTTCCGCGTGAGCATGCCTTGGACTCCCTAGAAAACTTCTGCATATACAGTGCTCAACTCGTGCCTTTGGCACTTCTACTAGGAAGGGGGGCGGGCTTCGAAAATTTTGAACCAGGGACCCCCTGATATAACGTTACGCCACTGGCTTTTACCAACACTATCATGTATTCTATTTAAGTTAAACATAGTTGGAACACTCACAAAACCTTTATTTTGTTAATCTAGAGCTTGAAATGTCCCCAGTAACTATGAGTGACTACCAACTCTCATCAACTCTCATCATCGCTTGATTGAGGCGTATAAAGATATATTTTCTGTATAAAACTTGTAAGCTGATATGAAGACATTGAAGAGTATACGTCCTCGTTCGAAATGACGATGTCTTTCGAATGCGTTTGGTCACGTGGTCATTGGAAAAAAATCAACAATTTACCATTGTCATTCAAAAAAAATATCGATCTGAATACGAACATCATGCATAGATGTATATAAACTTACACATGAGCGAAGCACGAGATTTATAAAATATATTTAATGGATTATTTCCTTGAAAGGCGCGTAGGTGTATTATGTAAATTGGAATCATACAACGCTTTGTGAAAAATACGTACATCTAAGCATTTCTAGAAAATGTTACCTTGGCCATCGATATCCTGCACTTCCTATAAATTCTTTCCAGGATGTGGAATAATCTGATAGAGGATTTCAAGGATTTTAACAAGACCGTACTCGTCTAGGGAAATGAAAACATTTTAATATTTGGAACGTCATATAACCAATTAACAAAAAACAGCTGTAGAGTATTATTAAACAATATTGTAGTTCCTTTTTAAAATATAAAACTGCTCTTGACTTCCTTTCCCTGCGGGAGGAAACCGGAGTACACCCGGAGAACACTGGGTGGCGAGAGTAGAACCCACACCCTCAGAGATGGGCGGTGGGTAGCTCAACGTTTAGTGTCACCTCTGTGTCAGAGGTTCAACTCCAGCAATATACAATTGGATGATTGTAATTTTAGTTCAATCACATGTGGGTAGAGTGCTTCCGGTTTCGTTCACAAAACACTCCAGGTTGTTCCCGGGTACTCCGGTTTCCTCCTCGAATTACACTGGAACAATAAAGGGATAGCTTTAAATGGACCTCTAGGAAGAACAGTTTATAGACCTGATAGAGCTACCCAGTATAAATAAACTTAATTTGGTTTAGGTTTCCTCCTGTAGTAACACTGAATCAATAAGAGATGATCCTTACTGGACCTCTAGAAAGAACAGTTTAGACCTGATAGAGCTACCCAGTATAAATAAACTTAATTTGGTTTAGGTTTCCTCCTGTAGTAACACTGGATCAATAAGAGATGATCCTTACTGGACCTCTAGGGAGAACAGTACTAGTTTAGACCTGATAGAGCTACCCAGTATAAATAAAGTTAGTTTAGTTTAGGTTTCCTCCTGAAGCAACACCAGAGCAATAAGGGATGATCCTTACTGGACCTCTTACCGGAAGAACAGTTTAGAATTGATAGAGCAACCCAGTATCAATAAACTTAGTTTAGTTTAGGTTTCCCTCCGTAGCAACACCAGAGCAATAAGGGATGATCCTTATTTACTGGATCTCTATGGGGACCAGTAGCGTTTACAATTAGCAGAGCAATTCAACATAAATAAATTTACACTGTTAAAGATTAAACGTACCTTCTTGTCTAAGGAAAAACAGTTCAGCAAGGATATTTAAGTAAATCGACACTGCACTAGACCAGCCTGAAAGGCAACAACTGAGTCAGATATTTACATTTGGATAAAAAATTTCTGAAAATATCAGTTGATCTGTTTTTCTAGTAGCTTAACACTGAAGTTGATTTCGGCGACTGTTGAATTTATATAGAGGTAGGATTTCACGTAAGAGGCTTATATTTTTAAACAAATCAGGAATTAATGCCTTTTAAGGGGATTGGACGTTCCAAGAAAGGCAGTGAGGCCTTATCCAAATATATTTCAAGACAGTTCAAGATTTGTGATCTCGGTTGACCAGTATTCGACCTCTGCCTGAAGGCAAACTTTTGTTCGACTATGATTTCACTTAGATGTGAGAAGAGTGCTCCCAGTTTTTACTCTATATCAAGCACATTTCTCCGGATACTCCCATTTCCTCTCGAATAACACTGGAGCAATTAGGAAGTTGCCACTGCTGTACCACTCGGAAGAACACGTTAGAAAGAACAAGTTAGTTTGGTTTAGGTTTCCTCCTGTAGTAACACTGGATCAATAAGAGATGATCCTTACTGGATCAAACTGGATCTCTAGGAAGAACAGTTTAGAACTGATAAAGCTATCCAGTATAAATAAAGTTATTTTAGTTTAGGTTTTCTCCTGTAGTAACACTGGATCAATAAGAGATGATTCTTACTGGACCTCTAGGAAGAACAGTTTAGAACTGATAGAACTATCCAGTATATAAATAAAGTTATTTTAGTTCAGGTTTGCTCCTGTAGTAACACTGGATCAATAAGAGACGACCCTTACTGGAAGAATAGTTCAGAACTGATAGACCGTTTGACGGCTTTATCACACACCACCGCAGGCAACTGCTGTATAGCAACACTGAAAGACCAGTGAGTGACAAATAGTCCTTTTTTCTCGAAGAGATAGAGCATTATATTCATATATTACGACCCGCCCATTATTCTTCTATTCAACTCGACACAGCATGATGTAGCGTTGAAACAGCAAAGAGTTCTTACTTTCCAAATAACTTTAATTGCTTTGTACCAGTTTATAGCTACCAGGCATGAAATTAAATTGAACATCGAAACTACTAATTGATTGTTGAAACTGGCTGAAGTCACGCAATCAAAACACATTGAGGCCAAACAATGTTCACTAGGGGACTGGTACGTTTACACGCTGCAATTAAATCGAGCCGATTTCAGGTTTTGCCGAATGTTAATGACGAATGTCGTCAGTTGACGATGTCACCAGATGACGTTGGCACAGAATAGGAAGGTATAGCTTCCTATTCTGTGATGTATACCTTCCTATTCTGTGATGTTGGCAGCGTATTTTTTAAATCAGTATAATTTATAATTAAAGCTGAATCGGCCGGACAAATCGCAGCGTGTAAACGTGCCTTAAAAAGGATGATTCGTTTAATAAACCTCTTATCATATCATGGCTTTCATAGACATCCAAAATGCCATTTCAAAGTTGAATTACTGTAGCTCAGTTTGATTCCAGTATAAGGTTCATTCAAAGGATCGTTTATGGTTAGGAAAATATTTTCATGCCACGATAGCTGGGCTAGCTGGTCTGCCCCATCTCATATGAACAACCCTTAGGGACTTTTCGGAAAAGAAACGTTCGTTGAAAGCTAGTCGAATGTGGATTGATACATCATAGCAATTTACATGCAGTTTCAAGGTGTTAAGCTAGGGATAAGTTAACCCTGCACGATGTATCCGATCTATCCCCGAATGACTGGCAACGAACAAAATCGTTCAAGCAAGTTTCCACAGCGCGTTTTATTTACTCGTGGGTACGGCAAGAGATTGACAGTCGAAGCTATATAGTTCAGCTTTAGAACAAGGAAAATTTGTTCATCTGTAGTGCCGTCAAGGAAAACGTGATAAGAGTGCACAAAATATACTTCCGTATGCCGGTTTTGACAAAGAAAAGGCGGTCTTGTCACGTTTTAAATGTTCAACAACGTTCCGTGCATCAGAAACACAACGCCGACTTTTCGAGTTTCAGATAGTTGCATTTATGACACGCCAGCTGTTGGTTATCGGTTCCATATACAGGGCTGGGTTGAGCGGGGGGGGGGGGGAGCCAGCAGGGGCAACTGCCCCTCAGAGAAAAGTTAACGTACTAATTTTACAATGCTATACTACAAATTATTAGGGCAAATGGCGCTTCTATACTGAATCTTGTGAATCAGCATGTATGATTCTACACGTGGCGTTCATAAGCATGCATCTAACTGATATGACTTTGATATATTTGTTTCAGCAAATACCTAAAAAATCCTACACAATTGGACATATACTTCAAGTAGCTATATTGTCCACTTAATTAGTGAAGCTTAGAGCTACCAACTAGCTGCAATATAGATGGTCCAGCCTGTCTTTGTATGTTAAGAAAATGATAAAGAAAAGCGATAAAAATATCGCCATACGCTGCGGAGGACACGAAAAGATAGAAGAGTCAGAAGAGTCAACATTTCCGTTAACGATCACGCGATGAACTTCAAACCAAAAACAATATTTAAAACACAAAAGTGGCTTGAAGTAACACCCGATATTGCTGAAGAAACCTTCACTATACCCTTCCAAACATATTCCAGCTTATCTTATACAGAATTTTGCTGAGAAAAAACGAAATTTATAAAGTTTTATATTTTGGTATTAATTGTTCTCTAGCGACCAACATATGGCACCCACACAAATTCTTTCACACAACAATATGTATAAAAATACGACGGATTTGAACCCAAATTACACTATTTAAATCTTAAAATATCAATTCATAAAGTTAATTATTCTTCTACTTACTTTGATTCAGAGATAAACTGACTTCCAAAGCCCAAAATTGCCAGTAAAATCTTCAATGAGTCATCACGTCTCTATACAAAGCTAGATAATTATAAAAATTAGCATACAATTAGCTAATCGCTCAATATCAAAGTATTTACAGTTCTTTTAGCTCAAGGGAAGTGCAGTGGTGTGCGCCACTTAAGTCGAGCCGATTTAGAACTAAATATAGAAAAGATTGGCTGGCACTATTACGATAAATGCTCCATTAAAACCCTCACATGTAATAAGCTAATCTAAAGCCCCCTATCTAAGAAGCATCTGCATTATCTTCATAGAAGCATCTTCATTTATCACAATCATCGGCCGGCTGACAGTTTCAACAGATATATTTCAGCATTTATATTATTTCGAAAAATGAGTGCACAATTAGATTGTATATTCCATATTCTGTAACTTATTGCTAAAGGTTAACACATTGTGCCACAATGTGCCCTATATATTTCATTATACCACTCTGTCTAACGCCAGACGATTTTACTTGTCAATTTTGATATTTTTAAATTTCGATTTTTTCGTGAATATTCTCATTGGACCCCCTCTCACTTAGTTAAGCCCAACACGCCCCCTGTGGCTTAAACCCTCCCCTTTTAGTTAATAGTTGACTATTTCTTTGCAAACCCCTCCCTTGAGCAAGCCCCTGGCAAGTGGAAGAGATTATTTCGCTGGCCTCAAAGTGACAAAACGTAACAAAGCAACGCAGTTTTACTAACACTAACCCTACTCCAAACACCAACTCTAACCATAAACCTAACCCTAATCCTAACCCTAATCCTAACCCTAACCTAACCCTACTCCAAATTTGTTTCTAAACCAATCTTGAAGAAAAACGTTTTGACGAAATGTCATTCTGAGGTGAGCGAAATAGTTGATGCCCTGGCAAGTGGCCTCATAATTGAATAGTCAACTATTATATAAAGCAATAGATTATTTCATTAAGCGTATTAGCTGCAATCAGGATTTGACCTCAATTGACCGTTCAGCTTAATCTTAGATTAAAATATAATTAATCCACTGTATAAGTACACTACGGCTAGATTGTGTCCACATGAGGCCACTGCACAGATAATGAAACGACCGCGCAAGCAAGAGACTGAGACTTATAAATTATATTAGTCCAGTATATATTTTGAGGTCATAGGTAAGTTTCAGTGTTGTTTACGAGAAGTCCCGAAGAATCTTTTCCACTCATGAAAAAAAACAACCCCGGAGGAACACCGGAATTTCTGGAGAGTGCTTGCGATGTTTGGCATGATAGTCAAACTGGAAGCACTCTTCTCACATGTGACTGAAATTATAATCAGACAATATTGCAGAATTAATCGCGAACCTCTGACGGCTAAGACTCATGCACCAAGCCAGCAATAAGACGCCCACCTTATCGAAGTCTCTGTAATCACAAAGTATGCCACGAGTAACATTTGTGGCAAAACAAACCACTTTCAAACACAATGTGAACACAAAAGTCTTTATATCAAAATATGTGAACGCCTTGATGCATGTCATGTACAGGAGCTCAAGTATTGTGCCAGTCTTAAGATAAAAAGGACTCCTTAGATATTATGTTGAACTGTCTGTGTCAGAGTAGGTAGTGGCAATAATAAGCAAGCTTTGGATGGATAGGGATACAACTACCTGAAAAATACAAGGAGAACTTCGACGTTGCGAGCGAAGGCGCTTCGTCCGTAAACGACGAAGTTCTCCTACTCTATTTTTTCAGATAGTTGTATCCCTATCAATCTCAAGCAGGATCCCTTAAAGCCTATTTCTAAATACACGCCAATCTTCAGGAATTAAACTCTAGCTAGCAATTTCGGACGAGCAGCGCAGGGGCAGAACGCTCATATCCCATCGCCCTCTGCGCGCCTATAATGACGCACTACTTTATGTAAACCTTTCTGATATAGTGACTCGTATGTTTTTTTATAGCGCCTGGGGACGAGACAGCCGATTTACACTTTGCCTAAAACTGTCGCGTGCAACCTGCTTACTACTTGAGTTGTACTGTGTAAATCAAGCACACAACTTACTTACGTTGTCATGGGTGAGTTGCGTGTTTGATTCACACAGTACAACTCAAGTTGTAAGCAAGTTGCATGTGACAGTTTTAGGCAAAAGTTGTGTAATGTAAATCGGTCTTTACAGGAGGCTGGAGCAAGGAAATTAAACTACGCCTACGGCTCTTAATTTCATCCATTTGCCTCCAAATACAAGACCATATACTGCACATAATGAAAAGGATAAACATTTTCTTCCTCTGATAAGTGCAGGTTGACCAACATCTGCTGCACGTACGATAATCACTGCTTAGCGAAAGGCATCGAGCATGACGCACGAAACCCGATATTGTCGAGAGGAAAGACTCTTCTTTAGAAGTGTTATACACTTATGACGAACGCCCTTTGGCTTTGCTCGAGAGATGAGTCTATTGACGAGTTTCACTACGCTCTATCGTTGCTGGTCAACATGTAACACCAGAGTAAAAAAAAAGTTCCTTGTGTTAGTCTAAATAAATTAATATTTGGTGGCAAATAAAAAGATGTAGTTTAAACTGTTTCCAATCTTGAACGCGGTTTGTGCCCAGTACAGAGACCTCACGATGTAAAACAACGACCAGAATAAAATCATTCAAATAAACGATTGTAAAGAACGTTTGTAGACTATTATTGATCGTATCAACTTAATACTGTTTGGTTAGCTTGAAATAGTGGTGTTATTATTCGAGTTTTCAGGTAGTTGCATGTATCCCCGTATCAATGCCAAAGCTTTCTTAATCTGTTTCCGCGTCTATAAGTAATGTCAACATTCCTAGCAGTTGCTCGCAATCTGGGCAATGTTGCACAAAAAGATAGACGTAGGTAACTACAGTTAGTGCGAATGCTAACCAACCGAAATCGCGTATTTTAGAGTTGGCCACTATTTGACTACGAATAGTGGTTAAAAATAGTTAAGAGTTTTATACAACCGGCTCCAGAGATCAAGTAACGCCCAGTAAAAGAAACCTATTCAGCTATTCTTCTTTATATAAAGCTCACAATACCACACCACATCTATACTCAGACCCACGTTTGAAAATTTGGCACAAAGATGTATTTTGTCTGATCCAAAACCAGGAATGAAGCGCCTCGAGGCCTCAACCGCAACGCAAAAAACAGCTCTCTGTAACAGTATCTCAAACGTAGTGGTCCAGTGTGCGTAGTATTCTACAATAAACTGTTGTAGTTTATGTCTAAACTGCCCGAAAAAGATGGATTTGAGCTACGGTCCTTCGTCTCGAAGTTAGCAGGCGAAAACTAGTTGAAGTATTTTAATCTTTGCAGGTACTTCAGACACAGACCACGCGTCAGCTTATATAACTCAGAAATCAGATTTTAGCCAACCATTTTAACCAACACTACAGTAAAACTTTCTATATACTAAAACATATCAGTTACCTTACTGCATTTCTTCTTTCACCATAAAGAAGTCCTAAGTCCAGGGAATAATATGCAAGGCTGTAATCAAAGGCGTATTAAACTGTAAGGCTTCTGTTTAATGACGTCTTTTTAATAGTTTGTATAATGCTTCAAAAACACAGACTTTATTATTTATGTAAATAGACTTATCAAAAGCCCCTCTCAAACACACTTTTCCCGTGTTTACCCCCCAGCAACTGTGGCAATTACATATATATTTAGGATCGTTAATTCCGTCGCTATGTTTTCATAACTATACACAAAAGTAGCGGACTTGTTGATTGCAAAAGAAATTTTTATAAAGGCTGTTTTAATTTGATAGCGGAAGAAGTAAAAGGCGTTGACACGGCAACAGCACAAGTCTTTGTTTCAAGTTTCCGTTGTTTTAAGTTGTTTATACCTAGAATGCTAGCAGGGGCGCACATTCCAAACAAAATCATTGGGGGGGGGTGTTCCAGGACCGACTTTTTGATGTTCGCATTTGATAACTTCCTGGGCTGCCCCAAGGGGCTGCCCCAAGGGGCTGCCCCTGCCTCGTTCCTTCTGCAGTTGGGAATAGAGATCAGTGGGCTGCCCCTCAAATTTGTTAGCGCCCTGATGTGATGTATACCAATGCTAAGAAATGAAAAATTAAAAAGGCAACAAGTAATAATTATTATTTATCGTGTGCAAATTAAAATTCGATATATGCATTACAGTCAGTTACAACTAGAATAAAATAAATTTCATGTTTACAATAAAAATATGGTTTAAAGAGCTAATAATAAAAAATACTGTAAATATAAAATGAGCATCAACCGTGATATATTGCGCGCTTGTGTTTATTTACAAACTCTAAAATTAGCCTGCGCGCATAGACAACTTGGCATCTAATATGCAAAACAGAATTAGGATACTGAATTTCTATGGATACTGAATACTGTTATACTAAAAGTATAATAAAAAAAAAATTATAAACCTGTTCATGCTGTTGTTCTTCCAGCGCACTCAATCTCAATGTTGAATTACGCTAAGAATCTTTACAACCAAAGAGCTAAACTGATGAAATCATGCATGTATTTGCAATAAATGTTGTTTCACTTTTCATTTCTATACTGTAGTACTGTGCAACTAGTTTTCGACGTTTTCACAGGGGAAAAATGAAGACATTGCAGGAAAAGGAAAATTGCTGTAGTTTCAATTAAATCTAAGTGTGGTATAACATTACACACGTAAAAATCTCACAACTTGTCAACAAGATGTGTTCGCAACAACCTTGTAGCAAGCTTGTCAACAAGTTGTAACAATGCTGTTATTTTATCAAGTCGCTACACAACTTGTTGACAAATTGTTGAATTGCAGGATGATAACAAGTTGTTGGAACAACTTGTAACAAGACTGTTGAGCTCAACAACTTTGTAGCAAGTTGTCAACAAGCCATTGACAACTTGTTAACAAGCTGGGAACAAGCAGTGCGAACACATCCTGTTGACAAGTTGTTGGAACAGCATTGCTACAAGTCTGCTGCAGTTTGTTACAACTTGTGCGTTTCACGGTTTTAATACGTGTGTACTATTAAAAAATAACGCCAAACGTTTTTCTGTTATTTACAGAAAACAAGGCACCTCCCATCCGAACATGTGTACGACGCCGACATGTATTATTTATTTATTTACACATCCGTCCTGAACACAACAGTCAGGCAGCCGGCTAGCTCGACATCCAAATTAGCAATTCAATGGTTTCAATTCATACTCTATATATGCATGTGGACAAGACGTCTATCGTATTACGCACGAATATTATTCCTGTTGTGCAGCCATGTGGCTCAAGTCTCAACATTCGTACTTTCGTTCGCGCACTTCGCAAATTAAAAATATGGTTTAGATTCCTTCGAAATGTGAAATTAGATCTTTGAAGCAACATGCAATTTTTGATCGAGATTCATCACAATTATAAATTACTATGCCTATGGAATATTATGCGTAAATGACATGTGATACCAAATTCACTAATCATACATATAACTCGCAATTAAACTGGTAAGTCTATTTTCACTCTATTTTGGCATTGTTTGTACCTCTTCAATTCACTCAGTAACTGTGCGAACAAACACGTCTTTTGGAAGGTTATTCCTTCGCAAAATAGTCGCGACATAAGCAAGTACTAAACACTATTATTTATGAACGGTTGGATTTGTCCGAACAAATGTCCCGGTCCGAATTAATTAGGGCAAGAGTTCGATTACTTGATATGATACAGTTTCTGTACTAAAAGTAACAAAATATATTGTTACATACCTTGTTTTAACGCCGTATAAACAGCAATGCCACGCAAACAGCGGGACAGGATCCACATTTCTTCCTTCAGGTGCGAGGCTCGCAGCATCTATATAGAGACGGGATCACAACTGACAAGACAGCTATATAAGGCTATAATGGGGCACGAAAATGAAATAGAAGATCGGACAGCATGCTGTTAGCTTTCTGAGAAAAGGAAATGATCATCTTCGAGTGATATTTACACGCACGATCGGCGGATCGGGACAGACTATTTAATCCGATGACACAAGTTTGCCAATTTGGGACAGACCTTTTGGACAAAAAAGGCGAATTTTTGGGCGAATCTTGGGCCACTCGATGAAATGATCGCAACTTGTGCCATTTGACTGACATTAGATACTTTTTCTAAGATAATCAATTAATCATGTCGATTAGCGTTGTTGTTTAATGTACAATTATAACTATCAATTTCGAATGGTTTATCAGAGCTGTAAGGAATCCTACAGAGAACAACACAGATTGTATAAAATGCATATGTTGTGCCATCATTGACATGCGTGTACAGAATATATTGTTTGCTATATAACTTTAGCTTAAGTTTTATTTAATAGTCATTATTTGATACGAGTGTAATAGCATTATATGGTTGTGACAGCATGCTTGCCACTTGCTCCTAAACAATACTTGTGAATTGTGATATTTGGACTTTTATACGTCTTTCAAAATTATGAGTGTCCGCCACTGGCACGAATGCAAGCTCAATTATCTGTGGTTGTCACCGAGTATTATTTCACAGTTTGGCGAGGTACGCAAGGATGGATTTACTGGCGCGGGAATGGAATGCGCACCATGGAGAATGCGCCACCTTGGCAAAGAGGGATGCAGGGGGGGGGGGAGGGGGGAATTTCATTATCAAATCCACTTTTTCAATGTGGAAAGGCAATATCCCGTCACCAGTACCACAATAATTCCCCCACTGCTGTCACTCCAAATTATTATGAATCAATGATTATGGTCAATGGTCGCACCCCAAACCTCATAACCCTCCCCCCCTCCCATCCCTGGACTTATGTATTGAATAAAAACACACACAACATATTTTATATTTTCAAATTTTATTTACAACCCGTTATTTTGAAGCACTCTTGGTCCTCTTCATTCCTCCTGCAAAAAAACAAGAAAATTGATTAATAACATGCCCAGATCTGTCTTCGCTAGTCACTACAACGCAAGCATACGCGCATTGATAAACAAGCGGAACGCTTTGATGTCCTTATGCTTGTGTTGTTCTCACTGTGTCCTCGCTACAACGCAAGATAAAGCACAAGCAACAACATAAGGAGAAGGAAAAGAATGCAAAGTTTTGATAATCTTATGTTTTATATACAGGGTCCTACGACCCTGCGATTCCGGTGTAGCGCTCTAACCAACTGAGCTACAGAGGCCAGCTGTTGAGCTGTAACCGTAAGTTCATGTATATATAGTAATATAGGTAATCGGGTGTGCGGGTTGTAATCGGGTGTGCAGGTTGTGATTGGAGCTGAGATTGTAGACTCATGATATTCCCATGAAATGAGAAGATTTGTATGTTTTCTATTTCTAAACAGGGAACTTAAACATTAAGTTAACCTTAAACCTATTCCAAATACATTTTTAAACTATTGAAATGATGAAAGTTATTGTTGTTTTTTAAGCGTTTATTAGCAAGTGGGAACTACCAACATGGCCGCCATCTATTCAAATGGGGGTAACCGCTGGAATATTCTTGGCTTCAATTTTACTAAACGAGATGCGCTATCTAGTGTATATAAGATATATATGTGCTTAATGAACTTACCGGGATGTCAATTTCTCCTTCGTTAATCTTATCAATAATATCATGAGGTGGTTCTCCGTCAATCGTACAGCCAACCGACTGTGCTGTACCCAACATTTGTTTAACCGTGCCGGCTAGGTTTCTTGAGATGGATCGGCCGTGCATCTGACGAGCTATGTCCACAATGTCAGTCAAAGATAAGTTGCCATCATGTTTGACTAGAAATTACAGAAACCATGTCAGCAGGTTTTAAGGAAATTTCAATGTGAAAAAGTGGAAACACTAGATTTAAAAATTTTCCTTTCACAAATATTTGAAAGAAATTTCAATGTGAAAAAGTGGAAACACTTGATTTAAAAATTTTCCTTTTACAAATATTTGAAAGAAATTTCAATGTGAAAAAGTGGAAACACTGCATGTAACAAATCAACTTGAATAGTTGGAGATAAAAAATTACCATCCTCACATTAAAGTTTTTTTAAACATTTCCTGACATTGGCTCCAAGGGCACAAAGCTCACCTAGGAAGTTTATTAAGGAGCATTGACAAGAGCATTTTGATATTTCTAACTAGCTTCACTCTGATTGGCTGCATTAGTTAACACCTTCCAGTACTTGTAACAAACATGTGAAAATAAACAACATTTTTACAAGGTGGTTTATCCTTAATAAATATTATCCTCTTATAAATATTTATATATACAGGAGGCCAAACAAAATAAGAATGGTTTCATGTTTCCGACCAACTTCTTAAGTACTGTATGTTGCCAGCCATAAACATTTTATTGCAAAGATTCCCCTTTTTTCACAAAACTAAAGTTTCTGTTTATTTTGTCTGCCCTAAACTTATTAAGTTGCATTGTACCATAATGTGCCCTATGTTATTATTTGACTCGGTATAATACCAGATGATTTTACAAGGGGAAAATGGTGGCATCATTAATTATAGTTTTACTGTCGTTCCAATTGAAGTGTTCCTCAAATATTGATTCAATACATTACCTCGGGCTGACCAATTCATTTGATCAAGTTCCTCGAAATATTCATACACTTCCTAGTATAATTGTAAACTTCTGTTGAATAGTTTGAATGCACCAATCCCCTTTGTTGTTTGTGCAACTAACCAATCATAAATAGAAAGGAAGTGACCAGAAATTATCAAATACTTGGAATTGGCTCTTTCACAGGAAGTGTATGAATATCTCGAGGAACTTGATCAAATGAATTGGTCAGCCTGAGGTAATGTATTGAATCAATATTTGAGGAACACTTCAATTGGAACGACAGTAAACTAGAATTTATTTGTCTATATATGTTTGTACCATACACAATATTACCGATTACAAAATATTATTTATAAAAAATGTTTTCCCAACCTACCCTCCCTCATAAAACAGGGCTTTAAATCTTAAATTTTCAGCACTATCCAATACTAGCAACTTGAAACTGGTGTCCAGCCAGAAAATCTAGTATCCTACATTTGGATAATATATATTCTAGTTCGCAGTATCACAACACTGAAGTGTTCAATATTGAATACAGTTGTATGTCTCTCATTGTTATAAATTACAATAACAATAGGAAACTCAACAGTCAACAACGAGACCACCAAGTTGAAAATCAAAGGCATTTTTAAGAAAGCACACTCATAGTATTCAAAGCTATTAAATTAAGGGAAGACCACTGACGACATTTAGCATCATCTTAATATTTGAAATTTAGTAATATCCAGTTGGGATACATGTTATTCACAGTTTGATTATAGCATCCTGTTGATATTGGGATAATTACAAATTTCAGACCATGACTGAAGCCAACTTTTTTTTTTGGCTTAACTTATCATATTTCCACACTTACTGTTCTTGACCTTTTTACGATCTCGTGGCGGCTCCTTCAGATATTTGATGATAAGCGAGGCTGCGCTAGGAAGAACCGAGATCTTGGCTTGACGATTCTGAATTGTTAACTGCACAGTGACTTTCAAACCCTTCCAGTCTTGCGTTGCCTTTGCAATGTCGTCTCCGACTTTCTTAGGCGACTAAAGTGAAGAGGATTACAACTTAATCTTATATGTGATTTTGTGGATCGAAGGGAAAACTACATAGCCGGCCTTGGTCTGATAAAAACCAAGGCGATTCTTTTAAGTGTGGAAAGTTTGTATCGCGCGGCAGAGATATCGGCCACACAATTTTGATGCTTTCTATATAATTACTATTAAATTTTCAAAATCTCCGGTGTGCAAATTCGAAACTTTCCAGTCAGGTAATCTGGTGTTAGACAGAGTAAAATAATAAAGTAGGGTGTAACAAGATGTATTTCCACTTGAAGGGTTAAAATGGTTTCTTGTTCTTGGAAAAGCAAGTGACAAAGGGCTCTTGGATATGTGGTTTAAGGTGCATGCAATGGTGAACAACTTGCAATTCGTAAGGGGCCATTCCATTTAATATACACCCCCCTCCCCCTATGAACGAGAATTTCTGAGGGAGTTTGAAAAAGCCGTTTCTGAGGGGTTGTGTGCATTGGCATCCTTTGATCTTTGTGTTTTTTCTGAGGGGTAAGGCAAAAATTTCTTAATTTCTGGGGTGTGTGTGTTTGTGTCAACACTTTGATCTTTTTTTTCGTAGGGGTTCAAATTTTATTGACCTTGTCCATAGGGGTGTGTGTACATTAAATGGAATGGCCCAAGTTGACCGCCTGTCCATAGTTATGACCTAGCTTGGGTATTTTCAAACTATAGCCACTCTGTCAGGCAGGAATCAAACAGTTGCTGTGCAGTACTCATACAACAGAGACTGCTAAGTTTGCTAACTGTGGGCTGAAGTTTTCTTCTCCGATAAAGGAATGTGCCTAGGATGGCAAAATGGAAGATCTTCGGCACATGTGACAAACTTGGCAGTCTGGCTGAGCTACAGAGTTTATAAACAAACTTGAGCTAACTACAAGTTCATGCATATATACCAGGATCATACCTGTGTATAACGTGGGTAGATTATTCTAGATTTTTGGCAACTCACTCGATTGATCGTATAATATAATCTTTACTTCGAATTTTATAGCAAGATGCCCCAAATTCAGAATAATATAAGTATTTTAGATTATTTGTATACTATATTTAAAATCAAGCACCATTCTAAGGATACTCACCAAACCCAAAGGACCAATTTTTGGAGCTAGAGACGATGTAGCTCCTACTTCACCACCAGTGCACCGTAAACACACTACAATAACAACAACTCATGAACTAAGAGCAACTCAGTGGTTCCAGTGAACCAAATTCAAAGTGAATTTTAAACAGAAAAATCAACTTACCGATTTTAATTTCGTTCGGATCAAATTTAGGAGGCATTGTTCTGTACGGATTCTCAACGATTCGCGATCGATGGTTCAAAAAACGGCAGAAAAATACAAATTTCTGCGGACAATTTCTACAAAATATTGTAGATAGCCTTTGAAATTTTCAAAAAGAACGTATAGGTGAAAAGGTTCCGAGGTTAAACCGCCGGTGTAAAACACCGGGATTGAAAAACCGGGTAAAGAATGCCGGGGTAATATTTTCCGGGTTTAAAAGTGCCGGGGTAGCACGCGCTAATGCCGCGTCAGCAAATTTCGAAACCGTTGCATCGGACGCGTCAAATTTAAAAACTGAAAATTTCAAATTCTATAAAAGCTGGCAACTTTTTTAACTTGAAAATATTTTAAATGTCGCCGTTAGTCGGAATTTTTGCTATAACTTTGCTAAGTTCCATACTTTACAATAAATTTGATGCAAATTCGCGAGCGACAACTACGCGAAAGAATCCGTATTATAGTTTTGAAAAGTCGAACGCGAAAAGCGGAGGGATGGAAAATTCAAAAGATGAAAGGCAGAGTTCGAAATTTTGGAACGAAAAAGAAGATGAAGCTGGTTTTGCTTTCGAAAATATTAGCGAATTGGATGTCTGTATTTTTACGGTGAGTCACAATCGATCTAGTAAGTTCATTGGCGCAGTAATTTTCAAAAAAATATGTTGTGTAAGTCGGAATCTTTTGTTACTGGTTTGAAATTTCTTCTCCTGGCTTTACAATTAAAATATTGCCATCTTGTTACGACCCAGATGTCAAATGTTCTATTTTTCTTGTCATTGTTCTGAAAATTCCCTTTTTCTATATCATGTCGCTGATTTGTGTATAAAGAGGCTATTGAAAGAGTCAAACATGCTTATTTTGATCGCAAAATATGTTAATTTGTGCATAGCGCGACGTATCATTTACCGTTGAATCTAAAACGTTTTTATCATGTAGGTTGTTGCTGGAAACCAAAAGTTCTGTAAAGAAAAAACTGACGAGAATTTGGATCGTTTGACTTTGCTAATGATGTCATGTCACACCGCGGGTGAAGATAACAAGTTTCCGAAATGTACAAGTGAAAAGGTAAATAGGTAACATATAATTGCTAGCTAAAGGCCGATTTACTACGCCTAAAACTGTCGCATTCAATCTGCTTACAACTTGAGTTGTACTGTGTAAATCAAGCACACAACTCACCTACGTTGTGTAGTGTAAATCAAGCACAAAACGTGCCTACATTGTTGTAGTTGTGTAGTGTAAATTGGCCTTAAGGCTTCACATCCATTCACACAAGACAGAATGAATCTCGCACGCGTGTTGAGGCTTGTACAGTTTCAGACGGCACGTATGAAACGGGGTGAATTAGCATACGGTTCCAAACCTCCCAGCTGCTGACAATGTACTCAATTAAATATGTCGAGTTATCCTTTACGCTTTTAGACGTTTGCAGAATGCATTTCAAGTTTGAACACAGCGAATTTAGAAATGTTCAAAAATGTGAAGAAACGCGCCTTAACGGTTTGTCAAGAAGTAAGCCAGCAATTATTCATGATCAACAGTCAGCGGCGTGCTCAAGCCTTACTGGAAACAGCGCAACTCCACTCGTCCGTAATGACGTCATTCAAGGTAAGAATTACTTATGAACTTTATATTCAGCATATACTAGAATAAATGAATGAATGAATGGATGGCATGGAGAACAGTGGGATTTTCAAAATAATAAAACGACAATGGAACATTCTGATCACTGGATCGTGACTGGATGGCTTGGAGAACAGTGGGATTTTTAAAACAATGAAAAGACAATGGAACATTCTGATCTCTGGATCATACCTGGATGATATTGCGGAACATAACGGTGGAATTTTGAAATATAACAAGTAGTTCTACCTTTTTCATCTTAGGACAACCAAAAATTATTGGAAAATATAACATCACAAACGTTGATCCGTCTTCGCGCTCAGCGTGTGGCGTTCATGAAAGACATGCGACTGTTCAAGAAATACTTCACGAAAAACGAGAGTTTGTTGATGGAGGCAGCCCAGGCGCATCTCACATTGCTCTCACGACATAAAGAAATCATTGGTGGCTTGGAAAAAGATGTCAATGTTTTGACTGAAGGATTTTTCCAAAGCTTAGGTTAGCTCGTTGTTTGTAAGAACTGAATTATGAAGCTCAAATATGATCTGGTCGAAGGTTTACCTGAGACTGGTTGACACTATCAAAGTTTCTGTGATCACAGTAGGAATTTTGCATAGGCAAATTCTAAGTTTTGAAAAATTTGTAAGAAATGTTTGAGGAAACCAATTGAGTGTTTAACACTAAGTCAGTGCCCTCAAACATTTCTTACAAATCTTTCAAAACTTAGAATTTACTTATGCAAATTGTCAAGGTGCCCTCGACCTACAGTAGCAGGCTCAACTGTTAATAGTAAAGGACAGCGCGCCAGCCGTTTCTTTTCCCCGTGCTAACCACTGGTCTATTTCTTGGTTTGATATCGAGTCCAAAAATATTTTCTCTTCTTTATAGATGCGATGCAGGACAACTTCACAGCGTTCAGTGTGAAGATTTTTGAGAAACATCGAGAGATAATGGCGAACCTCAATCGAGTTGAAAATACGGCGGATAAAATCTTAAAACAACTAGGTAAGTAATTGTTTTTGTTTGTGGAAACACCACGTAAATTTATTACTGCATAATAATTAACAACTAGGTAAGTATTTACACCTTCAAATGAGATTTGGTCAAGAAGGAACATGTACTATTTATCGTGTCACCAACATCAAACCTTGGTCACAGAGATGAATTAAGGTCCTTGCTACTCTCACTTTTCTTTTTTTGTTGATTTTTGTGCTCTTAGTGTTGTTTTCCCACATCAAATTTCCGTCTCGTTATTTTGTAGAAATGATGGAGGAATATGACCATACAGTAACTTTGAAAAATGTAAGTGACTTTCAGTGCGTTGCGAGGCAAGAGATGATTGATTAACTTTGATATTTATATATCATGAGTACCACAGATAATCAAAAGAATTAACATTATTTCTCACTCTGAAAAACTACCAGTTGATTGCCATTTACGGCACAATAATGCATCCAATTTTCCATCTATAGGTTTTCAATTGGATAATGGCGAATCTTTGGCGTTCCCGTGAGGTCATATGTGTCGTTCTTTCCTCGTTTCTGATAATTTATGGTTTAGTGCTTCGAAGCAAAATATTTACATGGATAAAGTTCGTGTTAATGGCATCAGTAATTGGAGGGATCTTTTTGCAATACGAATATGTCGGTCTGTTGATAGCCGCATGGTTTATGTCTATATTGGGAGGTAAGTTTTTGTATTCAATATCAGTTTATCACATATACGTGAAACTACTCGAAAATATAAAAAAAATTGTCTTTGAAGTTTCAAGCACTTTGTCATGAAGTTACAGTGCATAATTCTGACGAAGGGCCTTGATTGCTGAAAATCTTTTCCAGGCAGTTCAGACACATGTTCTGACAACTTTAATTATTAACTTATATTATTAAAACCGGAAAATTAACCGTTAAAATTATCTTTTTTAGAAATATGTATATGGTGCTTCAGTTCCTTAACTAATGGTAGAATAGAGAGGGCGGAGACAGAAATGAATACTTCTGTGAGGCATAGTTCAGTATTATCTGGGATGCAGGAAAATAAAGCAGGGGAAACAAGTAGTGAAAGTGGTACTTCGAATGATAGCTTGGGACACGACAGTGGTAATCGTAATAATGTTAGATCTAGCGTTGCAGTACCTGAGAGTACAACAAGGGATTCGAGTGGTGAAAACTACAACATTAAAGGTGACAATATGGGACCTCATAGTACTTCAGTGCGTGGACTGCCAGAGAGCACAAGTGGTCAAATTGTGAATACGACTAGAATTTCTTCCAATGCAACAGAAAATGAGACAGAGAACGACCAGCCTCCCGCTACGAGAGGTGATAGCATGGTACTACAGGATACAATAGAAGATTGTGAAATTCAGAGTCCTGTCACTGAACATAGTGGATCAATGATGAGTATTGAAGTAGAAACATCGAGGGGTAATATAGTACAGGATACAATAGACGATTGTGAAATGGAGAGTCTTGAACATAGTCGATCAATGATGGGTATTGAAGCACAAACATCCAGGGATAATAATATAGTACAGGATACAATAGAGGATTGTGAAATGGAGAGTCCTGTCACTGAACATAGTGGATCAATGATGGGTATTGAAGTACAAACATCGAGGGGTAATAATATAGTACACGATACAATAGAGGATTGTGAAATTCAGAGTCCTGTCACTGAACATAGTGGATATTGGATGGATATTGAAGTACAAACATCCAGGGGTAATATAGTACAGGATACAATAGAGGATTGTGAAATTCAGAGTCCTGTCACTGAACATAGTGGATCAATTATGGGTATTGAAGTACAAACATCCAGGGGTAATATGGTACATGATACAATTGAGGACTGTGAGATTCAGAGCCCTGTCACTGAACATAGTGGATCAATGATGGCTGTTGAAGTACAAACATCTAGAGATAATATGGTACAGGACAGTACAAGTCTTGATATTCAGGAACAAAATAAGATAAGTGGAATACAGCATGGGAAAGAAAGCAGTACAAGTGGTGACACAAGTGATGACACAAGAGGGTATAGTAGTACTAAAGGAGATTTCGTAGTACAACGTGGCATGCGAACTCGTAGCAGGTGGCCTGAAAGTAATTTGGACTTCAATGAAGATACTGATATGAATGCACAGGGTTTAACTATGACTAAAAGTGTACAAACGAGTACACTATGTGACAGAGAGGTACAAACAGGTCCGGGCAATGACATGGCGGTACAGACGCGGGCTCAATGTGATAGCGAAGTACAGACAGGACCAAGTGAGAATATAGCGGTGCAAACGAATACAACAGATGAAAGATCTGTCCAAACAAACACAGATAAAGTCATTGGGGTACAGACGAGTACAAGAGATGACAGAGAGGTACAGACAAGTACCGGTAAGGATATATCGGTACAAGCGAGTACAAAAGATAATAATTACTCCCAAACTGAACCGAGTAGTGATATGGGGGTTCAAACGAGTACCAAAAGTGATAGTCAGGCACAAACAGATACAATTAATGATAAGTCAATACAGACGAGTGCTAAAGGTGATAGAGAAGTACAAACAGATACAAATAATGATATGTCAGTGCAGACGAGTATAAGAAATGATGGTTATTCCCAAACTCAACCCAGTAATGATATGGGGATTCAAACAAGTACAAAAGGTGATAGCCAAGTACAAACAGATACAATTAATAATATGGCGATACAAACGAGTACAAGAGGTGATAGCTCTGTACAAACAAGAACAAGTAGCGCTATGGCAGTACAGATAGGCATGGGAGATGATACTGAAGTACAAAAAGATACAAATAATGACACCATGCTACAATCGAGTACAAGAGGTGATAGCAACGTTCATATGGGTACAAGTAGTGTTACAGAAGTAAGAAGTACAAGAGGTGATAGTCAGAGACAAACGGGAACAGCTAATGATACAATAGGACAAACGAGTGCAAGAGATAATATGGCGCTGGAAGCAAGGATAAGTAGTGTCACAGGAGTACAAACAAGATCGACAGGTGATAGCAGCCTACAAACAGGTACAAATAGTGATATTAGATTACAACCGAGTCACAACAGAAACCTTGTAGTTTGCTCTAACGACAATACTCAAGGACGTAGTGGGATAACGTATGACTTTGGAGTACCTCACGAGCCTTTAGGGATACAAGAAGAAACAACAAGGACCATACCAAGACAAAGTGGGATAATTGTGAACATTGGAGACAATTTTAGCAACTCTAGAAGACAAACGCAGAGTCCGAGGAGACAGAGTAGGACATCGAGTCCATTTGAGGTGGTAACTGGAGACATTAGGATACCTAGTGGTACTCATGAGGATACAGGTGGTAGTACAGTGATGAATATGAGTGGATTGAGAAGAGTATCTCAAGACATATCAGGTGAAGCAGGGACTTCAGGGGAGTTTAGTTCGATACAAGTTGGAGTACAAATTAACAGAGTTGGAAGTTCAGGCCACAGACGGGAATGCGGGTTCATGACGCTACAAGGAACGCCTTGCAGGCGTCGTGTTAGCACAGGGCGGTGTTATATACATAAATATGCTAGACAATAACTTAATTAAATCCTGTTGTTGTATATTAAGCAACGATGTTTGTATATTTGGGGTTAAGGACTAAAGTGATTCAGGTCTTGAGAAATGTTCACACTGTCATTACAGTATATAAATATAATCTACATCATATAAACTACATCATTTGCAACGAAGAGTATACTGTATACAATAGAAAGAATTAACATTATATATTCTCTCATGGTAACTGCAGGTTCATCACCATCTGTTGTACGATAGAATTTTGTGAAAGCAATCTATAGCAGTCGTTTCTGTATGAAATAACTTAGCAATCATTTTGTTCGCAAAACTACGGAAGTTCTCGTGTCTTTGAACGTGTATATAGCAAATTCATTGCAGAGTTTGTTCTTGATCTATCCAGGACTATCCAGGACGATTCCGTGGATATTTGTAGCACTGGCGTTCCGTTATGTCATTTAGTTTTTAAGCCGATAGACGCAATTAACTATTTAAAACACAATGCTTAATTATTTTACGAAAATATATTTGAACGTTACGTTTTCAAGTAAATTTCGTTGAATAGCCCCAAAATTCTTGAAATCATTAGAAAATTTGCCCTAATATTTTGGTATACATATTTTCAGCCTAACTTTTAGGCATTACAAACCAACTTTCCTGCAGTAAATCAATGTTACCTTTCTGACACCTGACTGTACCGTATTGCTCACCAGCTCCGTGTGTTTGTCCAGTTAATGTTGTAAGATCGTCGGCTGTTCGTTCGGATTTCTCATGAATCTGAAGATCTGGCGTAATGTTCATTGTTTTGGAAGAGAGTTCAAGTTTGCATTTCAAGTCTGAATCGAGTTTTATTATTGCATTACCTGTAAATAAATAAAGATAATTATTACCCCGACTTTTGCAGATCATACAAAACAGTATAAATCACGTCATAACTTGGGAATTAAAATTGAATTTTCCCTCACCATTTAAGCCGGTAGCGTTGACATTTCCTCCTAAAGTGAGCTTAGTTTCGATATTTCCATCTTCACTAAGTGCCTTTAACAGACCTGATATAGAGCCACATTTTATATCACCAGAAATTGAAGTCACTTCTATGTTGCCTGGAAAAGATTGTAGGTAATTTCAATTCTTTGTTTGCAATCACGTGACTTTTCATCCAAATGACGGGCAATCAAACAACTTGTGGACGGTTTTTCTCCTATCAGAATGGTCGTAGCAAGAAAAACTGAACGGTAATTCATCTTTTGAGTCTTAAACTGTCTGTAAACTCGATCAATATATTAAAATAGCCGTTTTTTGTTATACCTGCTCGTCAACTGAAATCCCAAAATTACTTGCGGTCACTGCAAACAAGGAATAAGCATCTCAAACGATCTGTCCCAGTGGCGACGATAACAGGGAGTTTGAGATCTTGACGACGTATTACCGACTACGTTTGAAATAGTTTTTGTTATTTGTATGCACATACTAAATGCTTGTCATTACAAATTTACCCAAATATGTTTTATGTGCATGGTTTTGTGTTCGGTAAGTTTCATCTTCTAATTTTCATCATTTCTTTATAAAATTAATCTCCAACCTGTAACGTTGCGTAGTCTGTTTCGGTGCTATGTTCTTGATTTTGTTAATTACAACACAAGAAGGTCGCTCCGGTGTTTGCAGAAGGCGATCAACTTACCATGTGCATCACCAATGATGATATTCCCAAGTTGAGTGTTGACCAGTACATCACCACCATATAAACTGGAAATCATGACATTACCATCTTCACAGTTTATCTTCATATCATTCCCTTGAATTTTACCCAAATGAACACGACCATCTTTATTGGTTGTCAATTCTAGGTCACCAACTAAGGATGACTCGCTAAGGATATCGCCTGGAAATAATAACTAACATTTACTTCTTTGTGGATTTCGGTAAGCATTATGAAACATGAAATTTCGACACTGATAGAAAGAAAAGAAAACTACGTAGCATGGTAGAGAGTCTGAAAATCAGTAAACTGTAAAAATTTTGGTACTTTAACGGTAACAATAAGTAACATTTTGGTATTTTAACGGTAAATATTTCAAAGGTGTTCTGAAACGACAAACAGTATTTTTTCCCTCACGATTCACGCTGAGAAGATTTTTAGTGTTTTCACGACTGACGGTAATCGAAATTGAGCGAATCACGACTCACGATATACCCCATCAACACTCTCTTAACACAACATTTTGACAAGTTATATTCACCTGAGTTGGAATTCACAGTTATCAACTGACTTTTCAGTTGAGATAAAAGGCAGTTTCCTTCTGTGTGTATTTTAATATCATCACATTCTAGCTTCTCCACAGTGACGGGTGCCTGGGATGAACTATTTAGATAGAGTTCATAGGAATGAGGCATTTCAATACGTAGTTTGCTTCTTTCCAGTAACGTTGATTTGAAATTTTGGAAGATTTTGTTGTCATCTGTTTGTATCTGAAAGATTAAAATTCTGATGGTGATGATGATGGTGGTGGTATGAACTGAAGGCTAGTGGTCATGACATGGTAACTGATATATGACAGTGGTTATGGTAGTGGTCATGACATGGTAACTGATATATGACAGTGGTTATGGTAGTGGTCATGACATGGTAACTGATATATGACAGTGGTTATGGTAGTGGTCATGACATGGTAACTGATATATGACAGTGGTTATGGTAGTGGTCATGACATGGTAACTAATATATGACAGTGGTTATGGTAGTGATCATGGTAGTGATGACAGTGGTGATGGCGAGTGGTCATGGCATGGTAATGATGACAGTGGTGCTGGTGGTCATGGTAATGATGACAGTGGTGATCATGACATGGTAATGATGACAGTGGTGATGGTAGTGGTCATGACATGGTTACTGATATATGACAGTGGTGATGGTAGTGGTCATGACAATTGGTAATGATGACAGTGGTGATCATGACATGGTACCAATGACAGTGGTGATCATGAGTCTCATGACATGGTACCAATGACAGTGGTGATCATGAGTCTCATGACATGGTACCAATGACAGTGGTGATCATGAGTCTCATGACATGGTACCAATGACAGTGGTGATCATGAGTCTCATGACATGGTAACAATGACAGTGGTGATGGTGGTGGTCATGACATGGTACCAATGACAGTGGTGATCATGAGTCTCATGACATGGTACCAATGACAGTGGTGATCATGAGTCTCATGACATGGTACCAATGACAGTGGTGATCATGAGTCTCGTGACATGGTAACAATGACAGTGGTGATCATGACATGGTAAGGTCTGGTAATGATGACAGTGGTGATCATGACATGGTAATGATGACAGTAGTGGTCATGACGTGGTAAGGTCTGCTAATGATGACAGTGGTGATCATGACATGGTAATGATGACAGTAGTGGTCATGATGTGGTAAGGTCTGGTAATGATGACAGTGGTGATCATGACATGGTAATGATGACAGTGGTGATGGTCATGATATCATATGATAGTGTGGTGATCATGACATGGTAATGACAACAATGGTAATCATGAGTCTCACGACATGGTACAATGACAGTGGTGCATGATGGTGGTGGTCATGACATGATAATAGTGGTGTGATGGTGACAGTGATGATGATAAATTAATGATGACAGTGGTGGTGGTGCCAACTACTGTACGATGGTGATTTTTCCTTTCTTTCCTTGTTCCCCAAAAAGATTTCACCATGATGGTAAAGATGGTGGTAGTGATAGTAGTGATGGTAATAAAGGCGATAATCGCTGTTAAATTAATATATTATAACAATATATAAACATAGATATCAATTCAATTTAGTATTAATTTACCGTAACTTGAGACAATCCATCATCTTTATTCGAAGCATCACAACAAATAAATTCTCTTATAACTCCTAAATCTTTCTCATACTTCAAAACATCCTTGCAATCTGATACCAACGACACACTAACAGTACTTTGCTCTCCATGCCATGAATTTGAACCAGTAATATGCACCCCAAAATTTCCACTAAAAACTCTTAAATATCCAAAATTATTTACTTTTTGAGACCATAGGGGGATAACCGAACAATTCGGTACATTCTGTACAAGCGTAGAGCTTAAATAACGTAGAGAATAGCCTAAATTGTTTAAAGAAAGTTTAAGAATTTGGGTTCTATTTTTAAAACGTGCCGCCATTTTGTCGGGGCGACAAAGTTGGAGGCTTGGACGCTAGTCGAAAATTCAAGATGGCGGATCCTCAGCTAGATCAAGATTTAAGAAAGGTTCATTTTCAATTTAAAAATTTAGCATTTTTATTTTAATTACCTCCACTAATGGAGGTAATTAAAATACAGGACCTAATGTTCTCTTCTGGGCAGGAATCGGTGTACATACTCTAATATTTTATTAATTATAGGCCTTTCAAGATCTACAACAATTGATGCAAGAATCGACCCAAAAAATAAAGATATCAGAAGTTCAAATTGAGCATCTGAGAGGCGCCATAACTCGAGCAAGACTGACCGAAAAAGAACTGGATGTTTTGCCACCCGAGACCCGAACGTACGAGTCTGTTGGACGAATGTAAGACCTTTTATATATGTTGTTTGATATTAATAGTGGTATTTAAATTGCCTAATTGGTATCTGATTTGCTTTTTGTTTTGTGACGAATTACCAATTTAGGTTCTTATATCAGCCAATCAAAACAGTCCAAGAAAATCTGCAAGAAAAAATAAGAGTAACGGATTCCAAAGTGAAGACAATTGAGGTACAATAATGGTCAAACGGGGATCGACATGAGAGTTGGCAAGCGAGAGTTTTTTTTGCATGAGAGCTTTTTAACTCCAGTCAAATGAAAACAAGAGTTGCATGAGACGTGACTGGACAGCGTTCGTAGTGGTCTTTAAATTTGAATGCAGGTCTTTAAGGTCTTTGAAAAGTCTTTGAATTGTGTGAAAAAGCGAAGAAAGTCTTTAAAAGTCTTGAAAATTCTTTAGTGAGTATTTGATTATACATTTTCCTAGCTAATAAAATAGATTGATTGAAGAGCAAGCAAGGTTTTCGCAAATATCGACGAAAAGGTACATTTTTAGATGTGATGTGGCGGGACTTACACACTCGCAATTTTTCGACAGCTGATTGCTCTCAAAGGTCTTTGAAAAGTCTTTGAAAATAGGCAGAAAAAATCTTTGAAAGTCTTTGAATATTTTTGGTCTTGGAGACTACGAACCCTGCTGGATATTATCACGTGTAGCAAATATTCTCCGTCACTAGCTTAGTAGTTCTCGTCAAAATTTGAACCCGCGAGTTTATCACCGATTAGATAATCTATGTCTATGATGTACATTGCGATGATTGAAGATTAATCTCATGAATGTTTTTCTCAATTTAGGGGAATAAAGAACATTTGGAGAACAAGATTAAAGAACATGAAAATAATATAAGAGAAATGTTAACTGCCAGGCATAAATAAACTATTTCAACATGAAATGTTTGTGTCTTTTTATTTCCTTTCTGTAAAGGTCAATTTGCACTACACAATTAAGTTTTGCCTACAAATGTGGCACCCTCCATGGAAGAGCCTCAAGCTTGTAACCTGGTCATTTCTAGGGCCCTTCTAGGGCTGCACCAGATAGAACTTTTTGCTATCCGGCTGGATTTCAGTATGTTTGATAGTTATCAGTATATCACTATGATAGATTTCACTATGTTGGACAGCATCCGGCCGGACACTGTTGATATAAGATTTAGACATTAATTTAAGATAAATAATTATTTTAATTGGTTATAAAATGAGGGTGTTTATAATACTTTGACTTGAAAAAAAACCTTGAAATCATACGAAACTGTAGAGCACAAGTTTCATTGAGGACCACGCATGAACAACTGATTGCTCTATAACCTGGAGTGGATCACGACGGTAATACTATTGTTTAGTTGCTCACATTTACTGCTTTTATCAATGTCACCATTTGAGTGTCCTGGCCAAGTCTGGGAAGATTGTAGATTCAAAAATAAGGCGTGGGCGTAATCAAGCTGCTGCAGTTTGTTACTTTGTCACAATCTCGTACCCAGAGTATGCCCGTTCACCTAACCTGCGAACGGGCATACTCTGGGCAAGAGATTGACTTTGTCATTGCTGCACTGAGTTGCAAGGCGGGGATGCAGTCTTAGTTCCCATACAGTTTATGTCTGAGCTACCTGAAAACGATTGAACACATTTCGACGAATCAAACGAAGAGTCTTCGTGAAGACGCTGGTATAGTTTAGATAAAGTGAACCTCCAACCTTTAAGAAAAGTTAGAATCTAGCAGTAACAGTAACTAGCCATGGCAACTGTAGTCATGCTACGCTAATAAACCTACATCTAAATAGTTGAAGACAATACATTTCCAAAGCAATAATAATTAAACAAATAGTGCAAATCACTACCTAAAACTGCAAATCACTACTAACTTCTCCTACTTGTACTTTTCGGGTAGTTGTATTCCTATTAATCTGAAGCTTTCTTATTATCCAGTGTTCGTACATGTGAGGAAGAGTCAAATTCAAGGACATTCAAGGCCATGTATCAGGAAATTCAAGGACTAAACACTGAAGAAAAGGGGTTTGAAATCAGTAAAATCTGGCGTTGAATTGATCAAAACGCAACTTTAATGAGTTTCAAACAGCTTTGACAGATATGAACATGCAAAATCAATTCAACAAAATGTCCGTTTTGAATGTGAAATAATTTCAGAAAATATCCAAAAACTAAAGCAAGAAGAATTTAAGGACTCTCAAATTCAAGAATATTCAAGGACTTTCAAGGACACTGGCACAGATGTCATCAAAAATTTGGATAGCATGACTTGTTGTTATGGCTAGTTCGCCACTGTAACACAAAGGATTGATAAAGAAAACGATAATTTTCAAGTGTAAACTGACAACAAAGTATCAGACAATGGTTCAAAGAATCCGCATGTCCTTAAAGGCAATCCAACTGAAGAGCCAATTATGCCAGTACAGAGATGCCTATCTGTACGCCTCTGCATTGTGTTCTTAGACTTGCCTCTGCCACTCATACGCTGACATAAAAACATCAAAATTGGGGACACTTTTTAAGAATCCGACCACACAATGACGTAGGTAAAACGAGAAAAACAACTTGAAATATCTGGGCATGTGGGAAGTTTCTCTGAATTTTCTGGATTAGAACGCGCGCGGGCTTTTATCGTGAAAAAAACACTTTTCGTTCGAGTGTGATCAAGTGAACTGTGCCAGGCTATAGCTGCGTTATCAATTTGACTGGTTACTAAAGACTATCCTGGATATTCTCTCAAGTGGAATTCTTGAGATTGGAATAAACATGAACGACAGATAACGTTTTCTTTGTTTTTATTAGTCCAGTTACTGACTAGATTCTATACCAAACTCAACAGATTTTCTCTTGTTACTCCGCTTTGCTGCTGTAGGAAGAACAGTTTAGAACTGATCCAGTATAAATAAAGTTAGTTTAGTATAGGTTTCCTCCTGCAGTAGTAACACTGGGCTAATAAGAGATGACCCTTATTGGACCTCTATAGCGAGAACAGTTTAGACTGAACTGATAGAGCTATCCAGTATAAATAAAATTAGTTTAGTTTAGGTTTCTTCCTGTAGTAACACTGGTTTAATAAGAGATGACCCTTACTGGACCTCTAGGGAGAACAGTTTAGAACTGATAGAGCTATTCAGTATAAATAAAGTTGGTTTAGTTTAGGTTTCCTCTTGTAGTAACACTGGATCAATAAAGGATGGCTCTTTTTGGACTCTAAAAAGAACACTTTGGAACTGATAGAGCTATCCATCCATCCTATCCAACATAATTATAAAGTTGTTTATTATGTTGAGGTGTTGGAATGCAATCTGAAGCACGAGAATGTATATATATATATATATATATATTAGTGTATGTTTTTCCAAATTCCACGAGAAACCGTACTATTACTATGCGAAATAGATCATTTTAATGTAAACAATTTTATTAGAAATTTTGTCGCTCGTATTAATGTTTGGGCTTTTTGTATTATTTTCTCGTTTTGCACTGTATTTCACTTTTCGGCACTGTAAAATTGAGAAACTGTTTCATGTATATTATTATAAATTTTCACTCCGGGAAATATAAAAGATCGAACTTCCGATAGCAGTCCACAACACCTCATAAATGGATGCTTATAGTGGGAGTTCTTTCTCATTTCCTTTTCTTAATGAAAACCTTCATTGATTTTACTTGAGCCACGCGACATATAATAAACGTCTTAATAATACTCACGACGCATTGTCGGCGAACGTTTGAAGTGAAGACTACACGATACCGGACGAATTCGGACACACACGCAATTTATGCAAATTTAACTTGTTCTATTTGTTCACAGGGGAATTTGTACAGTTTATAGCTGTGCTTGGATTTCGTCTGGCTTCATGCGTTTCGTGCGAGCGCGGGGCAAAATCGTGTAAATTTCGGTACGATTCCCAATTCATCCTGCCCGTTGGAAGTTGGAACTGAGCCTGAACTATGACGTGGTAGACGTTCGCCATTTAATACCAACTCGTCATTTTTTATTTTCCCTGATGAGAGACAATCCTGCATTTTTTATCTCTGGGCAGACGGGAAATTTGTGTGTCAAGGATATTTTCGTGTTTTCCTATTGCCCTCATTTAGAAACATAAATCTTTCCTGACGATTTTTTTTTTGTCGTGCAAATTATTTAGGTGTAAGGGTCGTAAAGATTGAGTCACGATCTTTCTCATCGAAATTCAATATTTTAGAACTAAAAATACGCGGAGTGATTATAACTAAAGAATATTAATGATGTATATGTGGTTTACAGGTATAAACTATTATAAACTGGCCGTTGAGAAAGATCGTGACTCTGTTTTTACGACCTTTACGATCATATGGAAACCAGGCATAAGAAAAGAAATGAGACGTTTTCGAGTCGTTTATAATGAACTTGAGTTGCATGTTTACTATCCCTAACTTTCGCAAAGATAAAAGGTTTTGTACCATATTCGCTTAATAACAATTGAAAGCATACCATAAGCGCTGAGATACAGGGACATCAAGTTTTAATATACTTATGTCAAGTGTACGTTCTAGCCTTCAGATTTTATCAGTAATTTACTTTACATATACAAGTCATAACACTCTTTAAACGATTACATCGAATTATTATTACTCGTTAGAATAGTTATGTCAGAATAGCAGACATTATGGTTTTTCTCTCGAGTATTCATTCAACATGCATGATTCAGGGCATGTTTTTCAGACAATAAGTGCTATACGACGGAAATTTTCTGAAAACTAATCCCTTAATTCTACTTTAATTTAAGAGGATTTTTGAAAGTAATATCTTCAACCGTAAATATATCTATATATATGAATGCCAATTTTCATGTTTAAATTAAGACCGGTTGAAACCCCAACAAGTTATGGATTGTTTTAACAATTTGAATTTACATGCAGTGAAGGGAGTTGGTTTCACATTCAGAGGTGTGCATGAGAGGTCTTGTTCACCCCCTGATTGTTAATAGTTTCATGTCGATTTGGGGGCTGACCTCCTAATTAATATGTTTGCAGATTGTATAGTGATAGCCTGGAAAGTTCTTTGTAGATGTAGGGTCGAAATTATGCGTTTTAGTAATCTGTACTTGATGCAATACATAAAATAGCTTCTTTTCCGGCTGATATACTTTCAGCAAATATAGAACAAAAGTTATTCCGAATAAGGAGTGCGTAATATTAACACACAATTTCAATCTTGCAAAACACTGCTGAGGATGAATCGGATTTGATTCGAAATATACAGTTTTTATAAATTGTGTGTTAATATTATGCACGGCGGTTCCTTATTCGGAATAACTGTTCTATAAAATAGCTTCTGGGTATATCAAAATCTGCAGAACATGAAATAGCGATAACAATCCGAACTTATACGGATCCAATTAATTATCGCCAGTAAAATCACAAATAAATGAAATAATAACAAATCATTAGATTTTTCCAGCACCAGACTTACATAAGTAGTCATATTGTTTGTTTAGCATTTTCCCGCACAAAAGCATACTCTTAATCCTACATAGCTTATACATACCCTTAATCCTACAGAGCTTAGCCGATTTGTTAATGTCATACTGATTATTTCATACTGCACAAACATGCATGATTGTTGGATTGAAAACTGCCTGAGAAACAAATTACAACACAAATTACAAAGAAACACCAACCGGCGACAGGCCACTAATTAGAACACTAATGAAAGTGAGTCACGAAATGTAGCAAAGTAGTGATCATGGCACTAATTTGATTATTTCTGAGATCAGTTTTAATCCATGCGTAAACATTAGTTAATTATCACTTTTCAAATTATCTTTTCTCCGAAATATGTCTTCCTAGCACGTACAAAAGAATGGACCTTTGTATGAAAATAGTGCCACCCAGTCATGAATATCAGGAAATGTTCGGTTATCGTTCCATGTTTCGCGTACCAATATAGGTTAGGGTTAGGTATTAGGGGTTGGGTTTAAGGTTAGGGTGTGTATATATGTGTATGGAGGTAACCAGTTAACTTTTCAGTACACTATAATATCCATTACATAACGTTTACTATATTGGTGCGCGAAACATGGAACGATTACCAAATGTTCCATCGTCTTGAAACGGTGAAAGCTCAAGCCTTCGTTCCATGCAGACACCCGTTTTTTATATACGTACGTATACACACGTAATAGTTTAAATCTTTCTAAATTCTAACGATCTCAATTTGCCAGGACGTGCTGTGTGGCGGGATTATTTTGATGTATTGACTGACTGATAAGTCACAGTGCAGGATTCAGCAAACAACTACATTATTTTCTAGAGATAGATTATAACTATATAGTTGACTGTCACGAAAGGTTGTTCAAGCAGCAATAACAATCTTCTTGAACTACAAGATACTTTAATTAAATAAAAAAAACTAAATGCTGTGCTCTTATTCATTTAAATATTTCATAAGGAACTTTTCACGTATGAAAAACGCTTCACTAGAAAGCAGCCTTGACTGGAAAACCAGTGTACTTTCACAGTTTCAAAACGATGGAGCATTCCTGATTCATAACTGCATGACATTATCTTTATGCAAAGGGCATTTATGGATACAAAGGCCTGTTTATTAACAAATTCAACGAGTGAACATTGTAATCTTCTATTTTCTAATTTGACCTTGAGCCACCTCTAACCAGCAATGTTTTTTATATCTTTCTAGAAAAGCCTATTTTCTCAAAAATTAAAAAGCAATAACAAGGTAACCTCTACTTTAGAAATCAGGGGACAGTTAATTTAATCAATTAGAGTACACCTAAATCCACTTACATGAAAAAACATTGCAAATTAGTTATTTTGAAGGGATAAATTTGAACGTTATTATTCTTCTTCCGATTTGCGGCTAGCTTGGTTTCTCTGAATTTCAATTCAATCTTTCATTAGCCTGTTGAACTTTAATTAAACAACCTACTACTGCATTTAAAAGAACGTGCGAATTAGCATAACTAAGCGAAATATGAAATTTAAAGCTTAATTAGCATAAAAACCGTGAAAAATAAGGGAAAGTGCGAAATAGCATAATAAGCGAAATAAGAAATTTAAAGCTTAATTAGCATAAAAACCGTGAAAAATAAGGGAAAGTGCGAATTAGCATAATAAGCGAAATAACAAATTTAAAGCTTAATTAGCATAAAAAACGCAAGCACTGCAGGGCTGTTACAAAGCACGCACTTGAAACCATATGCACGCCTTTCATATTTCTGTACATGTAACTATACTATATGACGTATATTTGCCAACGCATGCAGTATCTCATTGAAAAGCACCTTATGGTTAAAGTCATTCATCCATTCATTAACGCTTAATTCCTCTGGCAGATAGATTCTCGCAAATTATCCTATGATGACACGCAAAATCGCGGAAATATTTCTAGAAATAAACTACGAAAACAGTGTCGACGTCCTAACATCTCATTCCTATGTTCGTGATAACTTACTCAAATAACTTATGTAATTTGTACAGTATAGGATTTATTATGTTATGGGCTAAATTGGGATGGGAATGTCGAATGTGTACTAATCCAATCCGCAATACAAATTCCCATCCCTCATGGTGTAAAACTTTGCAGGGGACTTCGAGTCCTATTGTTCTAACGCCTTGTCCAATTTATTTATGTTAAATTCATTAAATTAAATCATCTTAAAAGCTAAAATATGTACAAGAAGTAAAAATTTAGTGAAAGCATACATGCATGAAATGCGATTAACAATGGGTCTCGGCACTTGCAGAAACAGGCAAAATGTTTATGTGTATTATTTAATTCGACCAAAAGCAATTTACATTCAATACAGAATAATAGATAAGAACTTCTAGAAACCAAAAGGCATTCATTTAAGGTCCCCAGGTTTATGAGTAAAAACTAATTAATAAGATAGATGATGTCAGATAACAGTGATATTGTTAATATCATATATTAAGGATTTGTAAGAAATGTTTGAGGAACTGACTTAAAGTTAAACACTGTGTCAAATGCCTCAAACATTTCTTACAAATCTTTCAAAATTTAGAATTTGCCCATGCAAAATTCCTACTGTGATCACAGAAACTTTGATAGTGTAAACCATCCTTTATAACACTCAGTAAGTTCCCTCAAACATTTCTTAAAAATCCTTCAAAACTTAGAATTGACCCATGCAAAATTCCTACTGTGATCACAGAAACTTTGATAGTGTAAACCATGATATCATGCATTATTTTCTCGTTCAGATAAGTCCATCTGCTTACGATAGTATAATCCAGCAAAACGACATGCTTCGCGTCATTCCAAAATGACACAACACGTCGTTCAAAACCCGTGAGAATTAGATTAACATCTCTCAGTTCACTCTTCAAGACATTAGATTTCCGCGATAAGCAGAACAAATTCCAAACCAGATTAACGTACTTAGCTTGTCAAGTGCACTATGACGCATTCACGAGAAAAGTGGCTTATAAAAGCAGTTCACAACTCGACAGAGCTTCACACAAGTTGTTGGACGAGACATCAAGACTTGCCTATACAGGAAACCTTGGCTAGAAAAAACCTCGAAATTGTCGCCAACATTTTGAGTTCTATACAACGTTCGCTACTTATTGTCCGTACTCAGAAATCAGAATGACATCAATTCAGATGTTAGTTTGTGTGGTGTTGCTCTTACAAACGGTTTGGGCAGCGACCAGAACATCGACCGGAACATCGATCAGAACATCAAGTCAGTCCTATGGTCAGTCTCGATGTGAACCGCTGAAAATTAAGGTACGTTCTTCATAATCCTTTTTACAAAATATTAAGTGGACGCTAAGGGTAAAACACCAGTTGGAATTTACGTCAACTCACTTCGCTTTTACTACATCGGTCTCTAACGTTTACAGAATTAGTCAGCCCTCTGGGTTCTAGTCAGTCCGCAACGCAAGACCTGCTGGTTAAGTTGCTCTATTTTTTTGACAGTAATGTGAATTTTTTGCGCATTTCAGCCACTTATTAACAAAGCATTCTAAACATTTGCACCATGTAGTTTAAATTACGTGCGTGCTTTGCAACGCGTCGTTAACCGCGAAATAGTGTCAAATAATTTTACTGGAATTGAATCCAACATTAAATATTTACTTAAAGATCTTTCCATTATCATTGCGCTAATTACAGTCGCAATCCTTGCCTAGAAAACTTTTATTTTATAAACGCAGCCGAGCCTTCCCAGTTTGTTTGGTCATTGCATGCCGACTAGCTTTCTAAACCGGCGCCAAATTTTATAAGGCGCGCTTGTTATAGATTGCGGTTTCGTTGATTGTCATTTTGCGGTTTTTGATGAGTCTGTATAAACACTCTCTTAAAATCTGCATTAACTGTTAAAATCGTCTAGCAAGTGTGTTGGTGGCATAGTAAAGCAGCTGTGATCGAGCTATTTAATGGACCTTAAGGCTTAACTGGACCTCTAGAAAGGGATGATCCTTACAGGACCTCTAGGGAGAAGAGTTTAATTAGAACTGATAGAGTATAAATAAATAAATAAAGATAGTTTAGTTTAGTTTATAGTTTCAGTTCATAAATATCTTTACCAAACAACTCAAAATCTATATTCGTTTCTTCTAGATTTGCCAGAAACTCAACTACAACAAAACAGTGTTTCCAAACTTTGCAGGGCACCGAAGCCAATGGGAAGCCAATCAATATATCTCATCTTTTGTCCCACTCCTTAACTCCGGGTGTTCCCCAGATCTGCTACACCTCATCTGCTCATATTATGCTCCGGTAAGTGAAAAAAATAATTTTACTCTCAACGTCTTTTCCCATGCAAACTTAGATCATAGTCTGTCAAGATAGGATGGACAGAAGTCATGTTATTATGTTTTTGCTTAAGTTTATGTTAATTTATGCACATGCAGTCATGGTGACTTACACAGGGTTCGTAGTCTCCAAGACCAAAAATATTAAAGACTTTCAAAGATTTTTTCTGCCTATTTTCAAAGTCTTTTCAAAGACCTTTGAGAGCAATCAGCTGTCGAAAAATTGCGAGTGTAAGCACCATTTTTACCAGGCAATTAGTCCCGTCAAATCACATCCTAAAATGCACCTTTTCGTCGAAATTTGCGAAAATCTTGCTTCAATCAATCTATTTTATCAGCTAGGAAATCGTATGATCAAATACTCACTAAAGAATTTAAAGACGTTTAAAGACTTTCTTCGCTTTTTCACACAATTCAAAGACTTTTTAAAGACCTTAAAGACCTGAATTCAAATTTAAAGACTTTCAAGGATTAAAAAACTCATTAATAATTCATGAAGAAAACACAAAGAAAAATCATAAGCGTGTCGTATCTGAATATGTGATACAGATTCATGTTGATTTACATAAACTTTAACTTTGATTTTCTCGGCTTATACAACGTTTATTTTTAAAATTACTTCGCCAATAAGCTCATGAGATGAGTCGTTTTTTCGCGTCCGTGTTGTATCGGATATACAAACCCGATACAACACGGCCGCTCATGTTGTAAATAGTACTTTCAAAGACCGCTACGAACCCTGCTACATCAATACACCACAGGTCTAATAATAGCAGGGAAGTCTGCGTGTAGTCTTGGTCTACCAATGTCTAAGACTAATGAATGTTTCAAGCTTTCGCGCACTTAAACACCGGTTATAGTTACAACACAAAAAAAGAGATTAATTGATCAAACTTGATATCCTTAACAAATATACTGATGGGTTAATTTGTATCTTGACAACATGTTTCCTGTTAACCAGAAACTGTAATAAGCTCTTCTAGCACTGAAAGTAGCACGTCAGCAAGTCACAACAACACACCACAGTGCGCTCTGTATATACTGGAGCAAATATTTCTGTCATTCTGCCTATGTGAAAAGTGAAGTCAAGGTGGCGGGCATTGACGTCCAAAAGCTCCGAAGCTCGTAAACAGTTTAATTCTAGTTTTTTCTAACGGACCGAATCGCTAAACAAGTGTCAAGTTATTATTTTATAAAACCATAGATTTATTCTTTAAATCGAAGTCAAAATACGATATTTCGGCACAATTCGTGCAGACCGCGAAAAAAGGGAGGCTTCACTTTTCAACGGGACTCAAGTTCTTACTCCAGACATAAATGGAGCTCAGTGCAGCAGAATGTTGCGCTATCCAGACATAAATTCGAGAGTTCTAAATGATATTCTCTGTTGCTAGGTCTGCACATCGTATCGTATAATGGTCCATCCTTGCCGCAGTTTATGCAAGAGAGTGAGAGATGATTGTACTCCTACAATAATCAAACTCTACGGCAAAGCTGATTGGCCGAAAGAATTGGATTGCAAAAAATTTCCCAGAAGAAAGAATGCGGTGTGTTTTGGACGGCCGCGCACACGCAAGAGCGCAAAGAGTCTCAACTTCTTTTAAATTATAACGAATTTGCATTCTCGTACATAGAGCTTATAGTATTTTATTGTATGGTGTAGTATAGTATAGTATTGGAATATACTATGTAAGGCGAAAGAGATACGTTCTATATTGTATCGTAGAGACTCGAAAGGGGTGTGGCCAGTGCAGTGGCAATAATAAGAAAGTTTTTGGATTGATACAACTACATGAGGAATACAAGTAGAACTTCGACGTTTCGCTCGAACAGACCGCAAAGAGCCTTCGCTCGAAACGTCCAAGTTCTCCTTGTATTTTTCAGGTAGTTGAATATCCCTGTCAATCCAAAGCTATCGTAGAGACTAACAATCATTCTTCACAACAGTGCATGCAAATGATACGAACCTTAAAAAGACCCGAGCATTACGAATCGGGAGTTAGACACACAATAGATAGAAAAATTAAATTATAGAGTATTATATTATTATGCTACAGACTCAAAAGAGCTGCATTCTTTCAAAGGCGCAACTAGAGACACACATCAAAGGCAAAAGGAATTGAACTCAAAAACTTCAGCAATTCTGATTTACAGTAAAGAGATTTAGTAGCTTAAATGTGAATATTAATCGTATTTTCTAAGGCATTATTAGAGATCTAATCAGCCAGCGCGCGTCTTTGCCAGCCATTCCATTCCCAAAAATATCAAGGAAATATTCTTAAAATCGATCGATTTTCAGTTTTGATTTTTGGGAAAAGTATTTGAAGAACACCACGGTTCTACGCTCACATTATCAGAACAGTTGTGACTAGGCATGCGAGGTCTCCTGAAAATGTGAGATGAGTCGTAATTGGCACAGACATGCGTTAATTGATGAGGTCTATATGGCAAGCCTGTCAAACTGCATAGCAGTACAACTCTAATTTTGGTAAAAAAATTGTTGAAATCTTTTAAATTGCTTTAACTAGTACTGTACTTCGAATATTTATAGCAATTAAAAACTTATCAAAACTTATCAATCGTGAGTTATCTGTTGTTTATAGTGTGTAGTTAGGAAATCAATTATAGTCGCATCAATCGTCTACAACAACAGACCTTGATAATAATAATGATAATCAAAAGACAAGTGCCGCCTGAATAGAACCTTAATCCCCTTCTTTTTTTTCTCTCGTTATACTTTACGATATGTTCCCATTGACATGAGTGAATCGTAAGTGTTGTTTTCATAGACAATGTTTGCGGGCGTTCGTTTGAAGAAGCCGTCGTTCTGGACTAATCTTGGTCTGTCTCAATGCAGGGAATGCGAATAAAAAGAAAGCTGTGGATTAATATAGGGATGCATGAACTACCTGGAAAAATACATATTTTCTGGTAGTTGTAACAGGGTTCGTATAGTCTCCAAGACCAAAAATATTCAAAGACTTTCAAAGATTTTTTCTGCCTATTTTCAAAGACTTTTCAAAGACCTTTGAGAGCAATCAGCTGTCGAAAAATTGCGAGTGTATAAGCACCATTCTTGCCCAGTAATTAGTCCCGCCACATCACATCTAAAATTGTACCTTTCCGTCGATATTTGCGAAAACCTTACTTGCTCTTCAATCAATCTATTTTCTTAGCTAGGAAATTGTATAATCAAATACTTACTAAAGAATTTTCAAGATTTTTAAAGACTTTCTTCGCTTTTTCACACAATTCAAAGACTTTTCAAAGACCTTAAAGACCTGCATTCAAATTTAAAGACTTTCAAGGATTTCAAAGATCACTACGAACCCTGTATCCTATCAATCCGTACCCTGCATGGTTGCCAGAGGTTCTCGTATCTTCCGCCCTATTCTCGCTCGTATTTATTTCTCAAGAACCTCTCCGCTACGAGGGTAATCAATCCCCGGCTTTCTTATCACTTTGGACCCACATTCTGTGGGCATGCTTCCCAATCAGAAAATGCTTGCAATATTTTGGAATATACGTCTTATAGAATAGCCTTTACTTTCCTCTGACTGCATTTTCTAAAACAGTTGGACAAAGTAGTACAAAAGTACTCGATTGTTTTTCATTTGTATTTAGTCTAAGACTAATTATTATCGAATGAAATCCTTTAAATGTCGGCAATTTGGTTGATTCTGGTGGAACCCAAGTATTTATATTCACTTATAATTGTTATGAAGAGACAGACATACCACCAGCTTACTTCGTATGTTATTGTTTCCAATTATATTACTTAATTCAAACCACTAATCCTATTAATATGTTACTATTTTCTAACCCTGAATCCTAAACCCCATTCTGTCCACTTTCCCTGTTGAAAAAAACCGTTTCGACAAAGCGTTGACTGACTCTTTATAACTTGTGTCTCGAATCCGGCAAGAGAGGTGAAAAGGCGCTTGCTTATTTAATTTTTTTTATAAATTGCTTAGCTCCGCGCAGACATGCAGTATTCCTGTTGGAACAGATTAATTATAGATGCATGCATGCAGCAAAAACTGTTAATTGCGCGCAAATTTAAAGATTAAGAACTGAAAGGAAATAAGCAGAAAAAAACGCGCCTTATTACGTACAAACATTATCCTTCGCCTATAATCTAATCAAAAACAGAGTTATAATCAACTGTGAATCTTTTGTTTTCATCTTTGGGGAGAGCAGTTTCGAACTGATAGAGCTATCCAGTGTAGTTTCACAGTTTTTCAAGCATTTTAATACAAAGGTTGGAAAAATCACTATCCGGTGGATAGCGCTATATCCAACCTTCGTACAACCGGCCCTGGTAAAGTATATTGATTCACTTCTAGGACTGGATCAAAATTAATTCATTTCACTGAAGTAGTGATTTATTCGTGTGAGATGTCATTTCAAATCCTCCAATTTGGACTGGATTAGATCTGAAGTCTGCGCATTCTGATCCAGTCCTCGGCTTCGCCTCGCACTTGATCAAATTGCGCGAACTTGAAATCTAGTCCAGTCCTCATAGTCGGACTGGAAAAATTAAATCAACGAGTGTTCCTTATCAGTGGGGAACAGTTTAATAGAACTGATGGAAACATCCAGTTTAAAAGTTAAAAATAAATTTAAATCGAGGTTCCCCTAGTCATCAGTTTTCATCTTCTATGCTCAAGCGCTGAAGATTAAAGAAACTTCTATCGGATGTCGCATTCTTGCGTCACAGACGCTCATTGGCGGAAAGGAGCCGCTGGAACTTGCCGGGTTCCAAACTAGAAAAACATCCAATTATCCATAGATATGAAACTAATGATTTTCGAATATGAGATAATTATCACCAATTAAGATGTCAATTAACAAGCTAGAACATGTAGTCTGCATGGTGAAGTGATTTTATCTGAAATTCCTCTTCGGCTGTCTAGTTAACGTTTCAATTTAATTGATTCGCGTCGAAACTCTTTTCCTCAGTTTATTACAGGCGGAAACTGGAGTACTCGGTGACAACTTGCGATGTTTGCTACAACCGACGGTTCACATTATCTTGCATGTACATATTGTATTTTCGTTTGTTATATATTTCGGAAAGAGTTCGTTCGTTGTCCTCAAAGCAGTATTCTTTGTTTAATCGTTTCTCTCGTTATATTTATTGTTGTCGAAATAGTATTTTACGACTTGCCACTGACAAGGAAACAACTCGTTCCTATATTATCATTATGTTTGTTGTTGTTAAAGCGGCTGTATAGTAATTGGCTTGCGCTGTTGCGAATTCCCTGCCATGTGCTAATAGCTCATATTTGTACAAGGGCTAAGCTATTAACTAAATTAAATTAAATTAAATTACATTAAAATGTTGGTCTGCAAATTATCTAGTTTGAGAATTTCATTAGATCTAATTGCAACGCTTGCCTGCCCATTCACTACAACCTACGGCTAAGTCACATTTTTATATACAGTACTCAGTAGTAGTTAATACCATTGCATGTTCTGATAATGTAAGCATATAGAATGGAACAAAGGTAACCAAGCATTTAAATTATATATGAAGTGAATTGATGACTCACATGTTATGTATAAAGCAGAGTGAATTGTGTGGTGATAAATATAAACAAGCCGGATCTGTTCCGTATTTTCACAATTTAAGATCAACTGTTTGATAAAACGTCTTCTTTATCGGCTCTGTCGGTTGATATTGCATGCATTGGAATACAGCCAGATCTTATTGTCTGCGAATGATCGCGAATGTCCAAAACTCCACTCTATTGTTCCCAGATGCATTCAATTACAGTGATTGTGCATAATATAAACAGATCAATTAATTATTGTAAGTTTTGTAACGATTCCCATCTAGATTCTTAAGCCCAGCAGAATAGATTGACGGAAACAAAGTATTTATGACAAAATTGGGCAGCAATCTTGATAGTTTTGCTACGAAGCACGAACTAATATACACTTTACAGGCGCGTATTCTAACAATGTGTGCAAAATTTAATTTTGAATATTAGCGATAAGCTTCTCAATTTTGTCTCGAACTTTTGGTCAGGTAGGGACAATAACAGAAAATTGCGTCACAGAATAAACACACACAGAAGAACGACTCAGCCAAAAAACCGTAACTGCTGCCACGCCATGATTCGTCATCAAAATGCTGACGTCATGGTGCTAGCCAGTGC